CTGTTTCAGCAGTTTGAGCTACAGTAGCTCGTCTGTTGGATCGGACCGAACGGGCCAACCTTCACTCACCACGAGCATCAATGAGCCTTGGCCCCCCATGACCCTGTCTCCGATTCTTTTCCTTCTTTGGACTACTTTTGATAGGCGAGCCATCCCAGTGCCCCATCTGAACGCACTCTTGCCTTGCTTTCAACGACATTTAGCTCGTTCTGGCCACTTTCTCACACATTTGGAACTTTCTGACTGACTGCTCCAAAGGCCATGAAAAACAATTGTATAATATAATAAATATAATATAATAATATAATTTAATAAATATAATATATTAATATAATTTAATAAATATAATATAATAATATAATTTAATAAATATAATATAATAATATAATTTAATAAATATAATATAATAATATAATATAAAAAATAACAATTGTTTGAATGAGAAATTTATATTTAGGAATTCAAAATATTCATATTTTAGAAAAAGGACTAGGGGCAATAGTCTGGGAAACGGATATATTTCCATACTATCTTTTTGTTTTTCATGACTTTGTCTTTTAATGTTCTTCTCTTCCTGTCACTAACCTTTTGGTTCCAAATTCTGCAGTAGATCATTCTTGTTGATCTTCTTTAAAACCCGCTTGGTCACCTCCACAGCTCCAGGAAGTGTATAGGTCTGGATCATCAGATCAACTGTCTCCCACGTCTTTGCCTTTCCCAGCTTGTTCCTTGGGATGGTTGAGGAGTCTTTCAGTCGTTCATATTTCAGGAACCACTTGAATCGCTTAAAATCATCTTCTCCGAGGTCGTCCAGAGTGTTCAAGAGGACCTCCTTTGTCATTGTTGCTCCCTGGTAAAATCAGAGAATACTGGTTGTTGTGGACAGTTGTGTAACAGTTGTGTTTTTGCCTGTCGGTCTGTATTTCTACTGAATAAAAGTATGTTCATCAGAATAACACTACATTACACATGTAAGTGAAGTTTATATAGCGCTTTTCACAGACATAAATCACAAAGTGCTTTACAGAGGCAATGCACAAAAATGCATAATAATGCATAGTAGAAGAAAGCAGTGTTCATATACATATCTATGCAAAGCACAAAATATATATACATATGTATATATACACGTACATATACACACATACATAAAACATGACTTATCAACTCAGGAGAATATATTATGATAACTCAACTAATGTAACTTGACTAACTGACTCTAGAGGAGCAACAAAGCACATTAGCACTGAATTGCTAACTGCTAACTGCCCCCCCCCACACACACACACACACACACTCAGTATAGAAATTCTGAAATTGAACAAGTATTATAAATATATTCAGCTCTAAAAAAAAGTTTAATCTAAGTCTTTGAGAACAGAAAAATATGCGACTGATTGAAGGCAGACAATATGCTGTGTCACCATGAAGTGTGGTAATGACTTCTGTTTCACACAGGAAAGAGTTTCATCATAGAGGAAGTTTGAGCTGTCTAGTTTGAACTGGTTCTTGATCTAAAAGGATAGGCTCAAATATGTTTAAGTTTCTATCAAATATTCATATATCATATGTATGCTGAGTTGTAATTCCTTCCTTCCTTCCTTAAGTGTGTTTGTAAGAACAGATTCAGTCCTCCTAAATAAATTTTCACTGTTCTTACAGAAGATTTTCATTTCTTAACATACTGTTGTTGTGTGTGTTTGAAACACAATCTGTGTTCACCTCTTTTAACAGACAACCCTTGTGTGTGTTTTTTTGCTGCTTTTCTCTTTTCTCTTACTTTCATTATAAATGTTAATTAGAAACTGACTAAAGTTCCTGTTTGCTATAATCAGTTCCCATTTTCTGGTAATGTTTACACACATCTGTAAATGCAGACAATCATATTAATGACAGAGCAGTCTAAGTATTTGCTCCAAGAGCTGGAAATACAGACAATTCATCAGTTACAACTCAGGCACAACTCTCAATTGACTCTTGTTAACTGTGACTTTTGCTTCACTTGTGCAATCTGCAAACGCCCGTGACGATTTGTGTGTGTGAGGAGGGGTTTGTCTGTGTGTCCCAGTAGCTATACAGCCTACGTACCATCATATTCATGTATACATATATATGTACAGTATATATACATATATATTCTGCAACTGAAGAAGAAATAGAAATGCATTTAACACTCACCGTCTTTCCCCTGACTAAATCTTGTTGATTCTCTTCAGACTGACAGTTGAATCTCTTCATGACGAAGAGTTCTGAAAAGAGGAAATGTGCATGTAGAGTTTGGTTCCCAGAAAGAAACAGTGTGGATCTCTTACTTAGGGGACTGGGACAATCATGAATGAACTTTTCTTAGGACATAATTAACTAAAAAAAAGTTTTAAAAAACTTTCTTAACCATCAGTTTTTTAGGTGTTTTTTGGGGCCCTTAGTAGCTTGGGCCCTATGGTAAGTCTGCCTCTCAATGAGTTATTACATTATTATAATATGCAGTTATCATTACATCAACTATTTAATATGAGTCATCTAAAAGCTTATTTTAAACAGAATACAGATACCTGCATCCAACCATTCAGTAAAATAAAGAGTCTTTTTCAATAATGTTTCTCAGCTGCTGCACAGTGTTTTTAATCCATCCATCAGTTGAGATTAAAAGCTTCATTAACCTGACAGAAAGTGCAACAAACTGACTTCTCAACAGGTTTTAATGTGACTCTGAATCCACCTCTGAAGTCTCTCATGTTATTTCTGTCTGTGTTTGTGTGTGTGTCAACAGACCAAATCTGAGTCATTATATTAAGGATCTATCATCATGTGTTGGAAACATGAACAAACACTGCTGAAGTAAAGCTGGAAGTCTTTGAAAATATCTGGAGGAGCTTCATGGAGTTTTTGAAAGGTAATGTTGGGAGTGATCAGTAGATGAGAGCAGGCAGATGTCACGGTCCTGTCTTCAGAACGACCACGGGTGAAACAAACAAACAACAAGCTGTCCAGTGTCTTATCAGCGCTAGATTTTAGCTAAGAACAACACATCCATACTGTTTAGGACATTTAACTAAAAGAACTTTACATTATAGATAATAAAATAGACAGCTGCAGCATTTGCAATCCTTGAAGGAGAAGAAAAAGCCTGCCATGTGTGGTCACTAGATGTCGCACTACGCACTACTACACAGTTGTGTGTTAACAGGGAGTACAGAAGTGGGGTGAGCACACAACCTTGGGGGGCTCCAGTGTTGAGAGGCAGTGTGGTGGAGGTGGTGGTGCCTATCTGCACAACCTGGAGTCTGCCGGTGAGGAAGTCCAGACAGCCTTCTGGACAGCGAGGAACTCAGTCCCAGATCTCTGAACTTGATGATGAGCTAGGAGGTAGACAGCAGTCCACCTAGAGCCAGGTTCTGCTCAAGGATTCTGCCTCTTAAAAGGAAGTTTTTCCTTGCCGCTGCCGCCAAAGTCTTGCTCATGGTGGGGACTGTTGGGTCTCTGTAAATAATTTTAATAGAGGTACAGTCTAGACCTGCTCTATTTGAAGTGTCCTGCAATACGTTTTGTTCCGATGTGGTGATATACAAATAAAACTCGAAAATAATTGAACGTTGAATGCTGAACTGTAGTCGACGAACAGAATTCTCACATATGTGTTCTTCTGGTCCTGGTGTGTGAGGGCAGTGGAGGTCTATAGAGATGGTGTCATCTGTTGACCTGTCTGTATGGAGACTCTTGTGGGTCCAGTGAGTATTTTTGGGGGGGATTTGGAGTTTTGTCTGACTGTTGAGAGCACACAGTATGTGCCACTGGGTGTCAGGCAGAGAGTTGACATCTTGGGAACCAGGACAGTGGTGGTTTTTTGATATAAGAACATCACAGCTGAGAGAGGCTCACAGTTTTAGACTAGAGCATTTTTTTTTGCAGTATTCTACACCAGGCCCAGCAGGGTTCTGGTGTTGTAAAGTGGAAATAAACAATAGCACAGCTACCCACAGTATCCCTCCACAGTTAAACAAATAGCTCCATGTATTTTATGCAGACAATTTAAATTATATTTATTTAATTTTTAAAAATCTATCTCTGACATGAGTGATTTGAAAAATTTTGAGCAGATTATTTCCTGTTTAAGGAACTCTTTATACAATTCGTCTGTATTATGTATTTTTTTTAGTCATCACACAATCTTCATAGGCTCCTTTTTTTAGGTCAGATTCAGTGTTTTATTGTCCCTGATTTCCATTCTTCTATTTAATTAAAATTTTAGTCTACATTTACTTTTCTTCCTAGAACTGAGATATAGGCCTCCAATCCAATATAAGCCCCCATGAAGCCATGGTGACTCCTAGCGGGGGTCCAGACCCCCAGGTTGGGAACCACTGTAGTAAAATAGCACAGAAGGTTTGTGGGAATATTTTACGCTTTTTGCTGTTTGTTTTATGACCCACTTTTGTTTTGTTTTTCAGATTCTTGCTCCTCATGGTTTCTTATTTATGCCTGAATATTAAGATTTACTGTCTATTTTTTGTTTGCATGTTATTATTTTTATAAACTATGTTGCATTAATGTGTGTATTCTCCACAAGTTCCTGTAACGTATAGAATACTGCTGTAGTTTATGATCTCAGTCAGATGAGGATAACAGTGTCCATAATGATAATATATTTACTTTTAATTCAATTTACAATGTGACATAATGTGACAAAAATTCAGCCTACGGATGTCACAAATTTTATTTTAATCATGACCAACTTTTCCCAACATGATCATCTGCAGTTAAGAACATAAACAGACAATTCTTTCTTTAAAATGTCTGAACAAATAGAGAGCATTAGAAGTTCAATCGGCCTGAACTCCACATAGAATTAAACTATCCGTGCAGTCCGGTCTAATGGGGGCGGGGTGGAAACAGGTCGGATGAGAGCATGAACGTCCACAGCAGAGCTGCTGCGTGTGGTTATAAAAAGCCTGTAACTGGACTCCTGCATGCTGCCAAATGAGCTGCTCAGGACCAACACTACTATTCTTAGACCTTTTGTTTTGCTGACGGCCGTCTGCCATCCCGTTGACGACATGTGGAAGGTCAAACGTGAGTGTTTTCACTGCATGCCTCTGTTTTTCACGCAGTAAACTAACTCATCGCACTGATTCCAGGTCTGTTAGGTGATTACTGATTACTGTGGGTCTTAGTCCTTAATGTCTCCTTCTCAACATCAGATTAATTTTACATTTGATTATCGCATGACAATAACAGAACAACTGCAGTAAGCTTGTGTAAAATTAGCCGTTCTGATTAATTTTGAGCAGATTATTTCCTGTGAATATTGATCAAAGATGAGTTTTCTTGATATTTTTAGTAACTATTTATGCAAGAAAAAACTATACTGCCTGTATTATCATACATCTTATCTAACCTAAATAAACTTAAAGAAAAACAATTTAATTTGGTTTTCTTCTGAATTTTGTTTACTTCTGAGAAATGAACGAAACACTGAGATAAGATAAGAAAGACATGTTTTCACTGCTAGATAATCAATTACCATTTTTTCAAGTGAATATTGGTTATATCTTTGCATCTGTTACCATTTCTTAGACAATTTATGTATATTTTTAGATTTTTTGGAATTTTTGGATGTTGTAGCCTGTAGCCCTGCAAAATCAGCTACAGACACCATTTATTTATCAGCTCATCCATCACATGCCTATAATTGTTCATGTGAATTTTGAAATTAAATAATATATTAAACATAGAGGGGACATCATATTACACCTTTTTTTCAAGATTTTTAAAGCAGCCCTGTAGAAACACATTGTCATCCACGTGATATGTTGAGCATTTTGCTTTCTGTTGCAGCTCCAGTTGTGTTTCCTATGGAGACAAGGTACCGGCCCATTTTAGAGGTAATAATTCCGATTCAGCATGAAACAGTTAGTGTTACTGTCATAGCTTTTTTTAAAATCTTGATTACATAACTCAGTTACATGTAATTTGTAACTCCCAAGCCTGGTTGCAAGCATTATTAATACAATAATAAATGTATTTATTTATTTAATAATGTCCAGTATGTAACATTCAGTAGGATCTATTGGCAGAATTGGATATAATATTCAATTGACACGGGTCGCCTTCCACCATGTTGATCCACCATTATTCTATAGTGGCCTAGAAAGAGGAGTTCACGTTTTTGCATGTGTCGCAGCCACTGTCCTACACACTGGTCCTTTAATTATTGCAATCATTTTAGTAATCATAAGGAAATTATTGTAACGGAACATTTAAAGAAGCTCTGTGCTCATCATACTGAAATTAAACATTTTACCCAACGTTCGCAAAGCAAACCGAACTTTCCATCTCAACCCACCAGTGTCTTTGATGAACCAAAGTCGCACATTTTAAAATCTCCAACCTTGGTGGCATCATTCGGACTAAAAGCTCTTCCTGTTTCCATGACAACTTCCTGTTGCTCAGAATTTGGTTCCCCCTGACCCCATGTCCCAGTTCCACCTGAGGAGGGGTTCTCCTGACGAGGAGTTTCCTGACCTCTGCAGGAACTATACCTGGATGGGACAGATCCTCACGCCGGCAATGTACCACCGACAGTTCAACCGTTGCACCCAAAGCGGAGTCATCTTCGATGATATAATTCGCCCAGGCCTCGAGGAACCAGGTGATGTCAGGATGATGTCAGAGTGATGCTGGCTGTCAAAGAATTAATGGACATTCAAGCAGTAATTATTTTAACGAAACTCGAAACTTACATATTAATTTAAATATGCAGTTCCTCTAATGGCCAATAGAGGCTGGCTCCATTAAATTATGGAAGTCAAGTATTAAGTTTACATTTGGATATATTTTAGATTGTAACAGTTATTATTACGGTTGCTGATGTACGACAATGTTTTGTCATGTATTTCTTCTTTTGTTGTATTAAACTGTGTTTGTCCCTAAATCGTACACTCTGGACCTTAAAGTGAAAGAAATACACAGTCAGTAAAATAATAATGATTGCTTGTATCCATCAATGTTTGTGTCTGAAGGTGATTTGTCAGGTCCCGTATCCGTGGGATGTGTCGCAGGTGACGCCCAGTCCTACATCCTGTTCTGCGACTTCTTCGACCGAGTCATCGAGGCACATCATGAGCACAAGATCACCAGCCAGACGCCAGAGAGCGACTTCAACTACGACAACTTGAAGGTAGTGAGTCAGACTGAGCGATGTTTACTCATGATGATTTAATTGCCGAGTAATTATGTACAGAAAATGTTCAGGAATACAGTAAGACCCAAATGCAGATAACTGAGGTACAGCTTGATGCACTTTAATGATTTAATAACAAAGCCAAGATGACAGATTGAGTGGGGCAATTTGTGTTTTCCCAGGAAAGGGGAGTCTAACTTTGACAGATGGTTTGTAACACAGAACCATCTGGAAAGTCATAGTTGGAAATTGTTTGGAAAAGGGAAGACACTTTCAAAAAATACAGGCCACCTGATTGGATGAACCACCTTTCCATCCCTCTTATTGAAGTCAGTCGGGAAAACAGAGAAAACCATCAAGCATTTGGTGCCGATCGCTCTTAATTCAAAGAACAAGGAAGTTTAAAGAAACAAATGTGAGAGCTCACAGAGCAGTAAATGCTGCTTGTTTGTGTGTGTGTGAAGGGGGGTGATGACTTGGACAGGTCATACGCTGTACGTTGTGAGGTGAGTGCTGTCCGAGGTGTTGAAGACTTCTGCTTCCCAACACACTGCAGCCGGGGAGAGCGCAGACAGCTCCTCACACTGGCCAGGAGAGGTAGCGTACTGTCTGTTTTTCAGAACCCGTGTGATTATGGAACCCAATGCTTTTGTAACCCAGGGTAATTTTTTTTAATAAACTATGAATAATGTAGTCATAAAAAAATATATATATAGTTAATCCAACCATGCAACACATAAATATCCAGGTCAAACAAGGTCACTTCCTCAACTCACCTAGACAGCAGACATGCTAAGACAACTCCAAACAAATTCAACATATACTTGCTAAAATAGACCGTTCAGTCAGCAGTCAGGTTTTTACGATCCATAAAATTAGCTGAACTACTGATAATTTATTAACAGTATCTTTGTAGTCCAAACAAAGCCGACGTTGCACACCCTTAAACCACACAGCAGCCATGTTGAAACTCTCAGGTCAGTCTGATCCTGATCTGCAGACAGACAGACAGACAGAGATTTCTTGCTTTTATAGAGAGATTAGAGTATCACAACACACAACCACAGAGTGGCTTCTATATTTAGGTTCCTCATTTAGTCAATTTAAGACAACCTCAAACAATTCAAACAACCTCTTTAAGCTCTTTACCCTGCAAGATATAAGCCATTAAGACAACTTCCTCCAACAAACAGTTGTCCTGGTCACTGGCCCTGACAGAATTTCTGGAAAAATTCATCCTTTAGCAGCAAATGTTAAGCAAGCCTCTTTCTTCCACATAAGATACATTGCCAGAATCAAAGGTGTGTTATTCTTTTAAGATCACATTTTTGTTTCCTGCTGTCCACTCTTCAGTGTCTCAGCTGCTTTCAGAAGTGTCACGATGCTGTTGTGTATTTTGTCCATAAAATTGAAACATAATGGTGTGTTTGTCCACTGTCAAACCTGGTGCCGCAGTGTGAAATTGGATCCAGAGTATGTACGGGGTATTTTACTTACTAATTGACTGCATTCTCTATGCCGTTTCTGTGAATCTGGGAGCTGCTCTTCTTAAAATGTGATTACTTTGGTCCAGCTGTTGGTCTGAAGCTCTTGTGCAGTAGTAATAATAACCAGCAGGGGCAGTGTTACAATGGCCTGAGTGTGACCAGTTGTTGAAAACCAGCACCTCCTCCTTTCTCTCAGCTCTGCAGCGTCTGGACGAGAACGAGCTGCCAGGTCGACTCCTCTTGCTGGAGGAGCTGAACCAGGAGCAGCAGAGGGAGCTAAATCTGAACCTGAACCTTCCCTCTTCCTCCCAGCTCCGTACCGGTGTGGCCCGGGACTGGCCTGATGCCAGGGCAGTCTGGTCAGTCTAAAACAGTCTGGTTTTCCTCCAATTACTCTTTATTTACAGGGTTTCTTCTGGCTAGAGAATGGCTCAGGTGGTCATGTGGCTTAAACTGTCCTTCAGCAGGCACAAAAGCTCAATGTCAATGCTGCAAGCAGGGCTGGCCCAAGCCTCCATGGGGCCCTTAGTAAAATTTGATTTTGGGGCCCTCTATTACTGCCATGTGTCTTTTGGGAATGTGAATGTGTCCTTTATAGGCAGTGGCCCTCTTAATACCTGTTCAGTCCTTTCTCAACTGGCGGAGCTGCTGATCCCTGCTCCAAACTGGATGCTGAAGAAGACACATCAATCTCCATGACCAAAGATGAAGGACCTATAGGGAAATTAAAATAATATTTTTGGACAAAATGATTCATCTCAGAATATTCTGCAGTACACTGAGCAATTATAAAGGCTGTTTTGTTGTTAACTTACCAGGTACACAGTAGGGACAGTGGGCACAGAGGATGGAGCAGAGGATAGAGATGGACCTGAGATGAAAAACAAGAAATACAAAAGTTTGCCATGTTATAGTTATATTACACTTGAAAATGATGCATCTTATTTTCTAAATAAAAAGTACAGCTATAGCTTGTAATAAGAAAACAAACTGCCAGTGGAACAACTGAAAATTGCTTGAGAAGTTTTTAAATAATATGGATTTGTCTAAAATCATGTCCCTTGTCATATGATTATATCTTCTATCTTATATTTAAAAAATTCATCTCAGTATGTTCTGCAGTGCACTGAGCAATTAAAGGCTGTTTTGTTGTTAACTTACCAGGTACAGTTGAGGTTGCAGAGAGGACAGTGGGCACAGTGGATGGAGCAGAGGATAGAGATGGACCTGAGATGAAAAACACGTCCCTTGTCATATGATTATATCTTATATTAGTATATCTTAATGAGATCATTTGACTAGAAATTAAATATATATGGTGACAGTGTTTGATCACCTGATTCATCAGCCTTGGCTGCTCCTGAGGAGGTGGATTGCTCCTGGGCTGAGTCAGTGCCTCCTCCTAAAAACTTTAACAGTGCTCCTGGGGAAGTTTCATATAACGTTTGAGCACAATAGGGAGTTGATGTAAAAGGAATATGTTTATTTACTCACATAAATTACTGTGGTCTGCAGCAAACGATTGCAAACAACATACCTCAAACTATAAGTTAACTAAATGAATTCATTAATGTAAAACCATATTGCTAGCAAACGTCACCGCGTTTGTAATTAACGTTAGTTATTAAACATTTGCTATCAAACGTTGTTATCAAAAAGGTTGTTTTGATGCCAAAAAGCGACCCAGAATAATATATATACACTGAGAATCAACTTATTCAAAGTATTACACAAACACAACAATGTTAGCTTGAATAGTAAATTATCTAACCCATATAATCCTATATAATCCTATCTAACCTATATAATCCTATATAATCCTATCTAACCTATATAATCCTATTTTACCTATATAATCCTATCTAACCCATATAATCCTATATAATCCTATCTAACCTATATAATCCTATTTTACCTATATAATCCTATCTAACCTATATAATGCTATATAACCCTATCTAACCTATATAATCCTATCTAACCTATATAATCCTATATAATCCTATCTAACCTATATAATCCTATTTTACCTATATAATCCTATCTAACCCATATAATCCTATATAATCCTATCTAACCTATATAATCCTATTTTACCTATATAATCCTATCTAACCTATATAATGCTATATAATCCTATCTAACCTATATAATCCTATTTTACCTATATAATCCTATCTAACCTATATAATCCTATCTAACCTATATAATCCTATTTTACCTATATAATCCTATATAATCCTATCTAACCTATATAATCCTATATAATCCTATCTAACCGACCCATAAGTAGTAAGACGTTTTTCTAATGTTAGCTAGCAAATTTGCTATTATAGGCTAATGTATTTGGAACAAAGTATCAACAATAATTAAGGACTTTCCTAATTTCAGGGAACTTTTCAAAATCTCCTTGACACCAAATGTAACATTACCAAGACATACCTTTATCGTTGTTTCTCCTCTTCCTCTTCCTTCCTCTTCCTCTTCCTTCCTCTTCCTCTTTCTGCCCCTGAAGGTAACATTAGGTCCTTTATTGTGACATCATTCACCTGCTCCTAGCTCCTGGATGCTCAGTGCACACGGCACTGTACGGTTGGGAGCTCTGCACACGTTACTAACGGAGCTCTGACAGTTGGAGCAGAGAGTCAGTAGGAAACTACACTCTGTTAACATCATATTGTTGTTGGCTTTTTATGGACAAGAATGTACATTTGATAATATATGAATCATCATCACTCACACATGGAAAAAAATAATTAATTACTTTTTTCTTTTTTAAGTTAATTGCTCTTGGGGGCCCCTAGTGGTCATGGGGCCCTAAGCAGCTGCTTAGTTTGCTTATGCCTTGGGCCGGCCCTGACTGCAAATGATCACTTTGCCGCTTTGGTAATGTTTTAAGTATATAAATGACCACAAAATCAAACTAACCGGTTGAAAATGTCAGCTATGGATTTAGCAACATATAAAAAATAATAATAAAAACAGTCCTATGTTATCCAAGCCTGCCAAAAAGTTGCTGAAATATTATCCGTATAGCCGATTATGCTTAATCATTGTAATTGTGCTAATTGCCCAACATATCCAAGTTAGCATCTGGTAGGGCACAATGCTGGGGACCGTATATATATACCAACTGTATTTTCTTTTCTAACTTTGGGGTTTGGGGTACTCAACATTTCTGGGTTCACAATAGAGCTCTGTTGGCTGATCTAAGTAAAATATTTTAGTCACCTATTGATAATGTCCCATGATTTCTTGTTTTAGGGTGAGTAAAGATGGCAGCCTAGTCGTCTGGGTCAACATAGAGGACCACCTCCGACTTGTGTCCACACGAGATGACACCAACATTGCTGAGGCCTTTAAATGCATCTGCCTCAACCTGCAGAAGGTCAGTGATTGGTCAGATTCTCAGAACGATTTTTTATATTAAATGATAATCAATGCATCCTTTATAAACAATGTTTGCTCCTACTCTAACTAAAACTTAATACATTTCTAACATTATAAAAACTCTCAGACCTAAATTTTATTTGTATAGCGCCAATTCATAACAGAAGTTATCTCAGGACACTTTTCAAATAGAGCAGGTCTAGACCGAACTCCTTATAACATTATTTACAGAGACCAACAGTACCACCATGAGCAAGACCTTAAATGTACTCACATTCCAAGCACACAGTCATGTCCAGTGTCTTTAACTGGTCAGACTGGAATTTATCAAGACAAAGCAACTATCATGCATGTATGAAGAAAACATTTATCATCATCACAATAAATGTACAGATTTCTTTTAATATAACTCTCAGGTCGTATCATCCGGAGGAACGCAGTACTGACAGTGTCCTGTAGAATTGGACCAACAGACTGACTGAATATATATCTACCGATATTATCTTATTGCAGATGTATCCTTTCTCTGTTTATGTCAAGTGTGAACCTATCGTCACCCATTGGGTTGTGGAGAATCGTTTTGAAGCCTCGAATTTAGCTTTTTGGCTGCGCCATGGTAGTTAGATGGAGCCAGCATGAGTCAGCAGAGGTGACGTACTGGGAGTTGATCTACGCTCACTGGCTGCACAGTTTTAACTCGTCCATAGAAGGAAACAATGGCGGGTCGCCTGCTCACACACAATCTTGTATAAAAAATATTTTTCAATGCAGTAACAGAATCTGGATCCATATCTGATCAGCATTGCCTAGTTTGACAGTTTGATCTGAGTTTGGTGCGTTGAGCTGGACGGACTCACTGAGAATGACCTGTCAATCACAAGGTAGCCCCGTCCTAAAGCATACCCTGCTTTATGGTCTGTTTTACTCTAAATGGGACCATCAGTTACTAAATGAACATCATGCTGTATGGAAGAAGACTGAAACTAGACACTGAGACTACAAATTCATCAGGAAACTGTTTACTGAGCTCGTAAATCAACTGAGAAGTCGGCTCATTTCTCCATTAGAGTGAAGGATATGTGTTATTGCATCCAATGGAGCTGGCCTTTACACAGAATATAGGTTTTAAGACACTTCTGCGTTGGCTTAACTATTCAGATTTTACACTGTAAAATGTCCCACTCTGAATATACTTTCATTCATATCAAGATTGTTTCTATTAAAAAATTAAAGGTTCAATATTTAACATTATGAAGCATTTTACATTTTTTGTACATGTGTTTCTGTGTAGGGATGAGGGTCAAAGGATGTGACCTTTAGTGCCTTCTCTCTCCGCTTCCCTACAGTGTGCAAACACTAACTAACGTTAGCTTTTAAATGGAGTCCGCTATTGTCCGACACCCACCACAACACAAAGTCCAAAGTCAAACATTACTGCAAAGCTTGTGGAATATATTGTCTGATTGTGCTTTTAACTAGCTAACATAGCAAAAGTTAGCTTCAGTTCTTGACAGTGGATAAGTGTCTTTGACCTTTGACCTTCAGGAGCTTTCAGTCTTTGATTGTTTGTTCGTCTCTGTGTCTCCAGCTGGAGGAATTCTACAGAGAGCTCAGACACCCGTTCATCTTGAAGCAGCAGCTGGGATGGGTGACAAGCTCTCCGGCCGACGTAGGGACGGGACTGAGGATCAGAGTCCATCTGAGACTGCACCACCTGCCCAAACATATACGGCTGCAGGACGTCCTGAAGAGACTGAGGATCCGCATGGACAGACCGGATGTTTCACCAGGTAACGGGATGTGATTTGTCTGTAGAACTGCAGGTCAGTTTGTGTTTTACTTTTCAGTTCTCACATCCAAACAATAAGAAATGATGAAGTTTAATGAGGTAGTGAAGCAGCGTGGGATCATGGGAGTTGTTATCTTCACCACCATTGCCGTCATTGCAGTCAACTTCTCCCGGTTAGGATTCCTTCAGTGTTCATGGCTCAGGAGGTTTTACCGCTAAAAACACTGAATAAAGCAGTTCCACCTTAAAAATCACTGCTTCTTTAGGTGTGCCGGAGGGGCTGCAAGGCCGAGCTGCTGCTAACGTTAGCTCAGCTTGTTTCTCTGATAACTTAAGATCCAGACGTCCGATGACTAAAATCCTTCATCCGGTTCAAATCTAGAGTTAAAAAGCACCAAGATCTAAACAGTGGATGGTAACAATGTGGCTTCAGACTGGATAAACAGTCAATGTATGACAGCTTCTGGCAGACAACCACTGACACAGGCACAAAGGGGGTATGACGCCATCGACAGGCGACCGGTGAAACGCAGCGTTACCTGAATAAAATGACAATGTATGGGATAATGTAAGTACACAACTCAACTATATATAGAACATAGCTCTAGAGTTTATAGACTGTTTAATGAGGAAATGTTACATATCACAGCTGACCCACAGTATCACTTACACTGATTCGATTTAGGTAGACATTATAAAATCTCTTATTACTATTTATATATTTTTTTCCTCCACAACTAACCAATCACAGTTCAGAAGGCTTCAGCTTGAGTTTCAAAATTGCCTTTTCATTTCCCAGAATCCCCAACACTGTATGAAGTGAGCAACATGGCGACATTCGGCGTGAGTGAGGTGAGACTGACCCAGCTGGTGGTGGACGGGGTGAAACTGCTCATCTCTATGGAGAAGAGGCTGGAGGCAGGCCGTGACATCGACGAGCTGGTTCCTACACAGAAGTAGATCTGGATGATGATTTGCTGACCCGAGGAGCCCAGTCAGACAGCCACAGTGATCTGTTCTGGGTTTGCTACCTGAATCCAACAGCCTTTACAGGTACTGGATGGGATCATGCAGTTTTTAAATGTGTTCTTTCTGCCTCATCGGTTTCTCAGCCCATTATTCAGAATTTCATGAGAAGTGAAATAAATATTCAGCTCGATGTGATTTCATACAAAGTCAATGCAAAGATGTGAATAGATGCAAATTTGCGCCAGGCGACAGGAATTTCAGTTTGTGTGAGTGAAATAATAAACAAAAATGTGACAAATAAATGGTACAAAGTGTGTGTGAATGTCGGGGCTTTTGTAGTGCTGCATGTGGAGGAGTGAGAGACAGAGCTGCTGATGCCCACAGAGAGCCTAACCTGGGCCGCTCTGTCGGTGCTTCTGGAGGAGCAAACACCCAGTCACACCGGATTCTGCTCTGACATTTACACTGTTTTTTATCTTTAGGGATTAAAAAGCGGAATTATCTTGTATTGGTCTGTGTGCAACAAGAGCTCTATGAAACTTCTTCAAATGTATACAGAGATCGTACAAAAAAGGAGATTGTTGGAGAAAAGGAGAATCAAACCAAACCAAAGCATTTTTGTTGTCGTCTTGCAGACAGACCAGATAAAATACAAATCGGGCTCATGATTAGTTATTTCGGCATCCCTTTAATCTGTTTATTGCAATTAAATCACAGCTAAATAGGTTTATTTTCGGTTTATACTACAGCAGGAAGCCAGATTAAAGGCAGAATATTTACTCACGTTATGTGTTTGGGTGTAATGCATGCGTGCATTTCCACCAAAGGCAAAGTGCCTCATGTTACTGATGGGATCATTTGCACTAGTAAAGCGCAGGCGAAACGAGGTGAATAGTCGCCCTTTAATCTGGTTAACCCTAGCAGTATGAGCCCAAAATAAACCTATTAAACTGTGATTTAATGTCAATAAAGAGACCAAAAAGATGGTGAAATAAATACATCACAACAAATTCAATTTGTAAAAAGTCTGAAGTCTGTCTGGAAGACGACGAGCAAACAACTTTCAAAATGCTTGTTTTCTGAATGGAGTTTGGTTGATCAGAGCTATGCTAACTTAGTTTATGGTGAAGTAAAACTGACAGCTGGAATCAAATAACAGACATATTTTCCATCTTCCTCTCTTCCTTTTGTCCAACAATCTGCTTTTCCGTCCGCTCTCTGTATCAATATGAAGTGGGATCCTATATCATGTTCACTTTGTGTCACCCAGCACAAACGTCTGCATTGACTCTGTACATAATATACTTACGGAAATAATTGTACTTGTGTTTGGTGCGAACACACAATCAGTTATAGATTGTATCATCAGAGTCCAAGGGCCAGATCTAAAAATGTCACATAGCTATCAGCAAAGGTTCAATGGTCCTACGTCCGATTTTAATTGACAAAAAAGATCGGTTTATGTACAGAGAACAGCGGCAGTAACCTGGATGTACCCCAACAGAATACACCAGGTCACGCATCAATATGTTGGATAAGATTGAAAGCAATAAACCAGATACATTGATCTGGCAGCGGGTTATTTAGCTAGGAATCACCAACTAATGTTAGTAATTAGGTTTGTTTTTTATATCTGAGTGTTTTATTATATTGGCCAATACTGCTATATACTTAATATATAATATTTTACCTTTTAGCAAAAAATTGCAGCTTCTGTGATTTGGATATTGCATTTGGCCATATTATGATTTTGATAAGAATTGTGAACTGCAATGACAGTAATTGTCTATGTTGTCCTCGTATTGTATTTGGTTGTTTACGCTAACATGGACGTACATATGTGTCTGAAATAAACTGAAATTGAACTGCTGTGATGACAAAATGACACAAATGGCTGAAATGTTTAATTTGTGTGATTTTTATTTAAAATGAATCCGTCATGGCTACACTGGACTTCTGCTACTTTCTTGTTGGTGACGCATCGGGGTCAGTCACCTGGTACAAGTTTCTATCTGAGAGCTGAGGTGAAGGCTATTTTCAAGTAAGAGGCTCAGATTTACAGTCTTTCCCTCGGGACATGAAGGCAACGCCAATATTCACACCTTCTAAACCAGAAATTCCACCGGGTGCGGCTTTATGACGTGGACCCCAGCGAGAGCATTTGAGGAGCGAAGCGTCTTCAGAGCGTCTTCCTGCCCAGCAGCATCGACTTGTGCAGTCTGCACGGAGGATTTTATGTTAAAAATTGAGCGGAACCTCTACGTCGTGATCTGCTCGGTGCTGCTCGACGAGGGTGGGTCGCAAAATAGATCACAATGTAAAAACAAACAAAACACAAAACCTCAAATTTTAAATGCGACATCAAAGACAGCTGCGCCCGGTGGAATTTGGGGTGACCTCTCTCATTTGTCTCCGCCAGAGGGGAAACGTTTGCATTGTTTGTTCCCTTCCTGGTTTTAAGTGCTACAACATACAGTACAAAGCGTTCTCGGGTTTCAGTAACGATGGAGAACCATTGCACGGTGAACCCTTGGGACCTCGACACTATTAGAGCAGAGCTGGTGAGATGCTCTACTGATGTACAGCCAAAAATTAGTGGGAACACAAGTCAAAATATACAGAAAAAGAAAAACCACAAACTGCTCATTTCCTCTGGCACCAGAAATACAAAGCAGTACACTGAGAAGGCATTGAGTGGTTGAGGTTGAGGAAACAACAAACAGGCTCAAAGGGCAATTTTAAAGGGAAAGTCTGGTGATTTTCTATATTTCTCTTCTTGAGACTCAAACTAACAGTGGACTAACAGGTAGTGTGTACGGAAGCCTGATACATCTCCTTCCTCAGTGCCACAGAGCCCCATTGTGTCAGAAACAGATCAATGAGACATATTCATTCATTTCTGCTGCCAACTGATGGCTGCTTTACTCCAAACTATTTGTTTGTATAAATCTCATTGTAGTGATTTTTGTTGGGACTGGGAACACCCAAACTGGGACGCCTGGTCACCGTACCAGAGGACCAAATGTAGATTCATCCGTCACTGAAAATAGTCCCAAACAAATGCACTATTTCTTCATGTTTGAGAGACGTAGAAAAAAATGACTTTATGTCTGTGAGATGTTTTTTAAAGATGTGTCCTCTGTAGGAACCAGTGGGCTTGGAGTTACAGATAAGCACAGGGATGGTAGTGATAAAGATAGAAAAACACCAGACTGGTCCTTTAAGTTTGAATGTGACAGGAAATAAAAAAAAACACAAGTTGCAGCTCTGGTTTTATCTCACTGCTAAAAGTTTTGAGAAATAAGACAAAAATAAATTCCAGTAGGGGAAAACAAACAAAGAATGTACACAGTGTAGACCAAATAAAAACTGTACACAAACTAATCTATACTATACCTGCACAGATTCACCTGGACAGATATCGTTTCATACCGCAACAATAAGTCAGCAAAGAATAAAATAAAAACACATTCGGTTCTGTCAGCTGTAAATGTGTAAAAAGATTTAAGGAGCTTTACAGTTTGTGTTTGAACCACCTGAAACAGTTGTTGAGTACTGACATCATTCCCAAGAGCTCCAGTATTATTGCAATATCAACATCAGCCAGCAGGGGGAGTAAAAGGGCTCGCTGCTTCAGGAGGTCAGAGGTCACAGGCATCATGTTTCACTACTTGATTGTTCATCATACACCGTGACTCATTACCTCCACTGGGAGCTGTGCAGCTTTTTTGGAGTAAAAAAAATGAAATTGAAACAGTTTCAACTTGAGCAAATATATCTTGTCCTCAGTGGGCTGTCTTCACGTCTTAGCACTGAATTTATGCAATGGCACCGCAGCAGACTGTCACACATTGACTGTTGATCCAGACTGAAGCCACATTGTTACCATCCACTGTTTAAATTTTGGTGCTTTTTAACTCTAGATTTGAACCGGATGATTCCCTGATTTTGAATCAGAGAAACAAGCTGAGCTAACGTTAGCAGCAGCTCGGCTCGCAGCCCCTCCGGGACGTCCTTTGTCTGTCCAACAGTGTGGGAGAAGCAGTGATTGTTAAGGTGGAACTGCTTTATTCAGTGTGTTTAAGGTGGAACTGCTTTATTCAGTGTGTTTAGTGGTTTTAATCAGCGGGTCTGTTTGTGTTGGAGAGGAGGAGACCTCTGTGGATCATTGGGCTCCCGGTAGAAACCTCCTGAACCATGAACACTGAAGGAATCCTAACCGGGAGAAGCTGACTGCAATGACACCAATGGTGGTGAAGACAACAACTCCCATGATCCCACGCTGCTTCACCACCTCATCAAATTTCATCTTTTGTTGTTTTGATGTGAGAGTCCCCCTAGTGGCAGAAATTACAGACTGTATGTTTAAGATGAACAATTAAGCTAACTGGCTAGCAAGCAAACTAGCTTGGAGATTGAGGCAACAAATTGAACACATTTTACACCATCGTGAAGCAATGAGCAGGTTAATGTTTGATGAATATTGTAGCTACATAATGCTACATAAGCTCGCTGTTGGAGCATTAGAGCTGCACAGGTAGAGCAGAGGTAATGTTTCACTGACTGTTTACTTGCACTCCATAGACCAGATTAGCAATTAGGTTAAAGCAAAACATTGGATAATATGCACTGGAATAATAGTATAAGTCAGTTTACATGCAGCTTGTTCATATTTCTCCCAACATATTGCTGCATACAGCTACTTTCTTATTCTGGCTTTCTTAAGCAAACTGATTAGTCCTCCCAAACATATACCTGTGCAAATCAGCTTTAATCCCCTCGACCTGATATCAAGTTTCCATGTCAGTGTTTCAAACTTACCTAGATTTTGTAAAATCTGAAGTGCATGTAAACAGTGATAAACCAACATAAAGTCAGTAGGTAGTGACAGACGGATTTTAATGTCTCACACTCACTAGGTGTCTGTTCTGGGTCGGTGGATCACTCAGGGACCACCACCGGCTGAATATCTGCGCCGTCACGCTTTAATATTTGGTTTTTAACTGGCAAACACTTAGTGATAACATTAAATAGTAAGTGTGTTGAGTATAATAAGGTGTATTTTCTCTGAGTCATACAGCAGTTAGCGAGGAGTAGTGCTGGACACCAAATGGCCGCCATCACTATGTGAGGCGTCATTCTGCGAAGACGAGGAGCAGAGATATTCTCCTCGCAGTGTTTGAAGATATTTTCAGAATAACTGGAAGTCGTTCACAGCCTGAGCTCATTGGCCACTTTGGAGGCGATGTTTTTGAAGGCGATTGACGTGCCTGAGATCCTTTTAAACCGCACGCCGTTGAGTGAGAGGCGGGGCAGCTTGCACACCTCGATCTCCCACTGGACCAGACTGTCCTGCCGGGCGTCGCCGTGCACGCAGAACAGCGAGTAGCGCTCGCGCTGCTCGTAGTCACAGTTGTTGGCGTCCAGGATCCTCCGGATCTCCTTCATCATGTCCCCGGGCTCCATGGAGGACGTGGTCTTCATGCTCCAGGTGAAGCGCAGGGAACGAGGCTTGGAGTCCCGGCCCTCGTCTTTGGGCTCACCTGATAAACTCCTGGAGGAAATAGACCCAACAAATTGACAGCATTAACAGATATTCATCCAGTCCAACCATGCTGCACTCTTTGTGTTTCCATTACCTGTTTAAACCACCTTCATTCTTATGGAAGCTGCTCAGTGGCGCATCAAGCCAGACAAATTTGACCAATTACCTGGATCGCCTGCATCATGCGGCTCACACTAGAGGCTGAGCTGCTCGCTTCCTGTTAAGCCCTCCACTAACTGGAATGGGGATACGATTATTTAGTTGTGCGGCTCTTCTAAACTTTCCAAATGTTATCTGACCGAATGGTTGAAATTATGACAGTGAAACAAGTCATTCCAAACGGTGTCGATGCTCAAAAACTGTATCCACTGTTTTACAATCACTTGTTTCACAATGCAACCTTATGGGAACAAGTCTTTTTGGATCAGTGTGCATCACGTGACACCACTGCTGTCATTACACGGTTCATCCGCTATGTCACACTGGCCTCAAAGGCCGGCACTCTTTCTGCAAGGCTTGGTTTAAACGTGGCGAGTTGTGCTGAGCTGCATCCAAGATTAACCATCTCTAGAGTCGGCCCAAAGCATTCAATTCCTCACATTTATAACCAATCGAGAACGCGGTATCTACCTTTCTATATCTGTGTATATCTGTATAAACCCAATACTGGAATGTTTGGCCAGTTCATGTGGAACCCCATCAAGTAAGTGACTTCAAATCAAAAACACTGGATCTGAAGGACTCCCTGAGCTTTTACTGACCTGCGTACAAACTTAGAGGTGATCTTGCCGATGAGGGAAGTAGAGGTGCCACGGCGTGGCGAAGCCAGCGATCCTGTGGCGTGCTGCGACAGGCTGGGTGAGGCCGGCGGGCCATTGTAGGTGGCGGGTCGCCGGTCTCTAAGCTGAGCGCCATGGAAGGTAGAGCGGCTGGAAGAACCGCGGGGGAAACGGGTTCGGTCAGGCGTTGCGCTGCTGCTGCTGGTGATGCTGAAGGCTGAGGGTGACGACGGAGGCTGCTGGGGGGAGCTGAGGTGGGGGAGAGGGGGATGTTAACAGAGCATTAAAGCTTTAGGAGAAAGAAAGTGGCGGTCCTCTGACTCACCTCTGATACTCTACGTTGTCATCGATGGGGGGCAGGCAGGACTTCATGGGATGTCCCGACGCTGACATGGACTTGACATGACGGGGGCGCGTGGAGGAGACAGTTGCTCCCGGCGATGGGGAGGGGGATGCTGCAGGTACCTCAGGTAGACTGAAACAGAAATGGATTAGTTATTGATTTGGAGAGTAACAACCTGTGATGAATGAATACTCCCAGAATTCTTCTCACCTGCTGTCCTTCCCGTTGGGAACAGCAGCCGAGTGGCGCTCAGTACTCGTCCTCTCATTAACGTATGTGTTCCTCCGAGTTATGCTCTGTAACACAGCAGCAGCAACAAGTCAAAAAACAGAAGTGCCGGGACTCTGTACTGGTACCTCGTGTTGGCCATTTCATCAATAAAATGCAACTGTAGCAAGTAACTCACTTTCACTGTCCTCATCCATATTTAAAGATGCTACAAGTTATATCCAGCTATAAAAAGAGCTTTAGAAGCCAGCTGTAGATGCAGCGGCTGGAAGCTCCTTTTAAACTGCTGGAAAGAATATGCCAACCTTCCGGTAATATTAAACAGCTTCGGCTTTCCCTCTTTGAGAGTCCAACAAAGGCTCCGTAAACACGTCGGCATATTCATGAGATATTTATGGGTGATTGTGGGAGGACACTGGGAGAAATGGACTGCAAAATAAACTCGTAGTGGAACTTTGAGTTGGATTATTTCTGTTTTTGGATTTCTGGGTTATTTTGTCAAAATCTTGAAAAAGATAACTTCGATTTTGACTTTTGTGTTTGTGTTAAGGGCAGTTTGATTAAAAACCTTTTAAGGAGAGAGACCTGGCTGGCACCTCTAACTAAATATAATGTAAAAATTAGAAGCAGCAGGTCAAACTGTTGGTGTGCTCTGCATGCTTTTATAGATCGGAATCTGGCGTAGGTTGATCTATCAACACTGAGGTTTATGAAGTGTACGATGAAGTGAGGGCCAGGTGTACGAAATGTACAAATAACGTTGCTAATTACAGTCTGAAGGTCCTCTGGGTGCCTGAAGGTGTCCAACAGTGAGCAGATTCATACTCATCTGTCCATATGGAAGAGGTGGAGGTGAGAAAGTGTTGATTCTATATGTGTGTGCTGTTTGACCTTTAACCCTGACGGAAACATGGGATCCATACCAGGACCTGGTTTAAACCAGAATCTGAATACTCTCACCCCCGAGGCTGTGGCTGACCTCCTGCGGTCTGGAGCTCCCATTGGTGAAGCCGGCTCTTCCTTCCTGTCGCTCTCCACACTGTTGGCGTGGGAACGCTTGGTGTAGGAGACAGGTGGGGGAATAGAGGGTGCCACTAAGAAACAAGACAGAGGGCATTCAAAGACTTTCTCCTGATATGTGAGTGTAAATGCTGCGTGGACAGAAACTCACCGTGGTCACTGAAACGCCGCTGCTTCTGATTGGCTGATACATTGCGAGGGTGGGCGGGGGACTGACCGGAGCCGTTGAGCTCGCTGCTAGGTCGTGTCCTCTGAAGCAGGTTACTGCTGGACAAAGATGCACTGCCTTCAAACTGGTGGAGAGAGACACAACAGAGGGGGTTTCGGTGGATTCTGGTGAGATGAGGACAAATCCTCAGTCGACGGAGCTAGGCTAGCAGTTTCCCCTTGGTTTAAGTTTTTGTGCTAAGCTAGGCTAAACACATCCTGATCTGTACTAGACTGAGAGATGAATCTGATACCTTAGAAATCAAGAGGATTTCAGTGAACAAACCTCAGCAGGTTTCCTCCCCAGCAGCAGGTATATTGCCGTCACCTCGTTGTACTTCGGACCGTCCAGCGCCTTCATCACTTCCTCCTGAGGGAATCCCATCGCCCCCATCAGCTCTGATTGGTCAGAAAACACACAGCATGCTCAGCGTTGGTTGGTGCAGAAACAAGACTTAAAGGGCCGTCCACAGCGAGAACGATGGCGACGTGAGCGACCGCACTAATCAACGGTGACTCGTCGCCACTGTCGTTATAGTTCTGGCGTGGACTGACCCATGGACAACGACATACACTCCCCTGAGGCTTAACTTTGAGACATTTAGGAGGGAACTGTAAAAAAATATTTTGTCTTTTTTCTTATTTATATAGCACCTTTTCAAACCAGAGTTCAAAGTGGTCTACCAGATAAAGCAAAGTGATGAGCCATGAAATGTGATTAAATATAATAAACAATAAAAGTACCATAATGAGAGCAGAATAGAAGCCATACAAATCAAATAAAATGGAAGAGGGTGCATGTGTGTGATGGTGTGAGTGTGTGCGATGGGGTTAGTGTGTGTTAGTGTGTGTTAGTGTGTGTGTGTGTGTGTGTCTGACCGATGCGTTTGACGTCGTTAAAGTCTTGTTCTGGTTCGTTGTATGACTTCAGTTCTTTGTCCTCGTAGCCGACATTCATCCATCGATCCTTCATGATTTGCTGAGAAACAGACAAACAACATGAACAACTGGGAGCGCTGATACAGAAACGGAGATACCTCATTGGCCGCTGCTGTGTGCCGCCGCTATGCGTCTGCACGGCCGCCATATTGGAGGTCGGTCAGTTAGTTCGCATACTGAGAGGTTCAGACTGTAATCGACTGTAACTCGCTTCATTCTGAACACACCGTTGTAGAGTTTGGTTTGTTAGTGACTGGGGGCGGATCCCCCTCCTTCCTTGTCTTTTTTTTTAATAGAATTTTATCATTTTGTGAAGCATGTTGTCACACTGTTAAGAAAAGATAAATAAAGTTATTATCATCATTATTATTAATATCACTTTACCTGCAGACTGCCTCGTTTTCCCGGGTTGAGCACCAGCAGTTTCTTCAGCAGGTTCTCACAGTCGGTCGACATGTAGAAAGGAATCCGGTACTTTCCTCTGAGAACACGCTCCCTCAGCTCCTACACACACACACACACACACACACACACACACACACACACACACACACACACACACACACACACACACACACACACACACACACACACACACACACACACACACACACACACACACACACACACACACACACACACACACAGGGAATATTTGGGGGTTTAAATTGGATTTATCAACTATTTTCTTTGATTATTTGAGCAGATTAACTGATAATCTACCGATAACAGACATAAAGACTCTCTGGACGTTGACTTTGAGTCCAAACACTTCCAACCACTTGTGACGGTAGATGTAGTTTTACATTATTGACAGGTGTTTCTGTTATTTCGTCCACGCTCTGACGTACCTTTAGGTTCTGTCCATCGAAGGGCAGCGAGCCGCTGACCAGCGTGTACAGGATCACTCCCAGGCTCCAGACGTCCACCTCCGGCCCGTCGTACTTCTTCCCCTGCAGGGTTACAAAACTACATTACCCAGCAGCCCACTGCTTCATAACACACTGACACACACAGTTTACAGAGCGAATACAGTTTTATCACTTCTTTCATTTTAACAATTACAGAGAATTTAAACTCTTCCCGTCACTCTTTATTTATTACATACAACATTTAACAGAAGGAAGAACAGAAAACAAGACAAAAAAATATTTAAATGAAATGAACAATAAACTTATACACAAACTCAGTGAATAAATCCTCATAAACAAATTAAATCTGACATGTTGGAAAAGGAGGAAGTACCGTAAAACTTCTAATATTTACTTCGATCATTGAGCTCTCGTTGCCTTTATGTGCTTTGATTCCTTGAGCACAGACTCTTTTCTCTCTTCACTCTCTCTGACACTTGAACATCATCGTCGTTTTACTGCAACCAGCGTACAGACAGTGAGTAGTGGACTTCACATGATAATGTTTAGACTCGGATTCATTTGAATGAAATCCTTTGATTCTTTGGATGGTGGACCCTTACGGACTATAAAGGAGTATAAATGATGGAGGAACAGACACAGACCGTACGGTACGGTATGACCTCTTCAGAGGTCGGGAGTCTGCACTTTGTTCCCCTCTCTCTGTAAATCTGAAGGAATTATACTCTAGTGTTTTATAGGGTACACACTTATTTACCAGCATCAAAACAGGAAGGCAGCGGTAAAGTAGTAAAGCCCGCCTACTGCTTGCTTTGATTGGCTGTCGGGCCAAGAGTGACATTGATGAATGCCATGACTCCAAGCTTTGGTTGGGAATATCAGCTCTAGACGAGCAGTACCACAGGAAAACAATTGTTCCAGTCACTGCTGTATCCCACCAATCATCCGTGTGAAATTCTGTCATAATTATCCAAACAATTCTTGGTGGCGGACAGACTGACCTGGAAGAGTTCGGGAGCAGCGTACGGAGGAGATCCACAGAACGTGTCCAGCTTATTGCCCAGCGTGAACTCATTGCTGAAGCCAAAGTCGGCTATTTTAATGTTCATGTCGGCGTCCAGCAGCAGGTTCTCCGCCTGAGACACAGACAAGACACTTCACTGGTTTTACTGTTATCATGTATCATGTTCACATGTTTGTGGACAGTAACGTCAGACAGGGATACCGGTGTGTCTCTGTGTACCTTGAGGTCTCGGTGTACTATCCTCTTCTGGTGACAGTACTCCACTGCTGACACAATCTGACACAAACAGCACACAGGAAATCAGTAAAAATAGACACAGAATATAGTAATAAAAGCTGTTCTCACCAGTGAGGCCTTCAGAAGGAATTCAGTGAAAACACTGGAGTGGCTCAAACCAGCAGTAGCCCGCAGTTTGTTAGCCACTGCGCTAATGGACCATAATGAAACTGATGTGTTTCATCAGCGGTTACACTAATGCAGACTGTGGGTTGGGGGGGTGTTGTTGTCTGACCCCTACATGGAGGATGAGCATCCTGGAGCTGCTCGACAGACACAATACTACAGGGCATTATGGGAAAACATCTGCAAAGCTTTTGCTGCTCGCAACTAGAAGACAAGGATTATGGGATATTGAGGACCAGATAGTCTCGGAGATCATCTCACCTGGCGAAACTTGGCTCTTGCCTCCTTCTCCTTCATTCGTCCGTGAGCAACCAGGTAGTCAAAGACTTCACCTTGAACACAGACAGACAGACGTCACTACTCATGCAGTCAGAGGTGGAAGTGTTCCTGCTGACAGACAGGTGGACAGACAGGTGACCTGGTCTTACCTCCGCTGGCGTATTCCATCACCAGGTACAGAGTTTTCTCTGTCTCGATCACCTCAAACAGCTTCACTGAAAAACAGCAGGAGAAATATATTACCGCTGCCAAATACTGAGCTCCACTGCTGCCAAATACTGAGCTCCAGTGCTGCCAAATACTGAGCTCCACTGCTGCCAAATACTGAGCTCCACTGCTGCCAAATACTGAGCTCCACTGCTGCCAAATACTGAGCTCTGAACTCTCTGACTGCCAAACACTGAACTCTATTACTGCCGAATATTGAGCTCTATATTTTATATATTTTATTTCTATCATTCCTTTCATCAGATGGTGACATTATCTGTTGTCTCTTTGGTAGTAATCCCTCTGATGAATCAGGTGAAAGACAAAGGAGAGGAAGAGGAGGATAAAGTGCAGACTCACCGATGTTCGGGTGGTTGAGGATCTTCATCACACTGACCTCCCTGAAGAGCTGAAGAGACACAGACTTTCAGAGACTTCATCGTTCATCATCTCAACATCTGCACAGTTTATGATGTAATATTGTCATGAACACATTTTCACAGAGAGGAACTCTATGGATCATTATTTGGTCTGACCGGTGTCCACTGTGACTTGGTGAAGAGCACAAATCACATGGAATCTGATCTGTGCCACTTCCAATTCTAAAATCCCAAAGAAAGTGATGTGGAGCATCAACAGACAGAGGTCAGAGGTTAGAGGTTAGAGGTCAGAGGTCAGCGTACCTTCTGCAGACTGGTGGGGTTCAGCTGAGTTTTGTCAATGATCTTGATGGCGACCTGCCGGAAGAGACGACACAGAAACATCAAAACTCCCAGGTTGATAACCACATTTAACTCTGGCCGGGTTGTGTTGGACCTCTATATGATGACACTGAATCAGAATCAGGCTAAAGCTAACAGGTCCCAGGTTATGGTATCATGCTAACAGAATGAGGCTAAAGCTAACAGGTCCCAGGTTATGGTATCATGCTAACAGAATGAGGCTAAAGCTAACAGGTCCCAGGTTATGATATGATGCTAACGGACTGAGCCGAGCTGCTGCTAACGTTAGCTCAGCTTGTTTCTCTGATAACTTAAGATCCAGACGTCCGATGACTAAAATCCTTCATCCGGTTCAAATCTAGAGTTAAAAAGCACCAAGATCTAAACAGTGGATGGTAACAATGTGGCTTCAGACTGGATCAACAGTCAATGTACGTAGACGTTCAATCTGTAATTTAACATGTACGCTGAGTTGGTATCAAACACACAGAACAGAACTGAAATACAAACAGTGTTAAATGCACAGAAGAATTCATACAAAGATTGACTGACTGCAGACCGATTGAAAAGTGCTTTGTGGGAAAAAACTGAGTCAGCAGGATAAAGGCTCAGAGTTGTGTTCAGGCTCGAGTCCAAAAAATGCTTTAAAGATGATCAATGAGATTAAAATCGACTGCAGCAGAGACGCGTGGAAACACAGGACATCGGCTGGCAGAAGAATGTGGAGAGCTGGAAACCTCCTGCACAGTCTGACGTCTCCAGAGAGGGACAGCAGCTGATTGGACGGCTCCTCTCAGAAAACGAACCTTAAAATAAAACATCTCACACACACACACACACACACACCGTTTGATCTTCTAACCAATCAGCTCGGAGCTGCTGACGTCCGCAGCATCAATTATTCATTCTGAAGCCGCCGCGAGTGGCTACGTTTCAGATTTATCCCTCTGACTGAGGAAAGGATGAGGAAGGGTCTCAAGCTGGGTTCAAAAGTGACTCGTTCAAAATATGAGACAAATAAAAGCAGCAATAATCCTGCACTGTCCCATCACCAACACTTTACAATAAGGGACGCAAAGGTCTGAGTAGTTACCAGGAAACAAATTAAATTCTTTTGATTCAAATTTTATAGCATAGCTAATGATTAAAGTCTCCATGAAGTCAGCATTGAGGTTTATGTGTTTTTTATCTAATTTGTCTTTGTGCTGTACGTCTCCTGTCCTGCAGTATGTGTCCGACAATTACAGGTTCTAGTTATTTTCAGGTGTTCTTAAAGGTATTTTCTTTATAATCAATATAAAGTAGTTGATGACTCATCCTGCAGTCGGGGGCGTGTACTAATGCTGGGTCCAATTAAACGCTTCCTCTCTTATGACGCTGTTGGACAGAGCGGAGAGGGCCGAGTGAGGCCTGATTACTGAACAAAAGAACCACTTACTTCATGATTATCTTTTTACTTACTCTTACTCTATTTGTGGCCCCTACATTTAAGCATTAATATTATCGATGTGTGACTATTGGCAGAGGAGTGACTGGATATCTGTGAAATTACAGTTTTTATGAATGGGGTCTGGCGGCTTTGAACAGACTGATATAACAGGAGCTTACTCTTTGACAAACAGTTTGTCTCTGTATCTGGATCCTTTCCATAATCTGAGCCCATCAGTGGTAAAAACAACTTTGAGTGGATGTACAGCCCAGATTGAAAAATAGTGAAATTATCCTTCAAATGCCTTATTTAGCTCAATGATCGGTCTCTGCTACATCGCCACCTGCTGACCGATAAGCAGTCAAACTATAATAACTGACTTCCTGTTCTAACAGCGCCTTATTGACCGGTAAAAGTCTTCCCGCTTGAGTCTAAAGCCTGCGTTGTGTTCTCACCTCTCGGCCGGTCAGTGTGTGTCTGGCCAGTTTGACTTTGGCGAAGTTGCCCTTGCCGATGGTCTTTAACAGGCGGTAGTTGCCGACGTGCGGCTGTTCGTCTGTGGCTGACGTCACAGAGCTGCGACATGGCGGCAGACTGTGGCGGCTGGATGATTTAGTGGGTGGGATCGGGGGTTCGGGGAGGCCGTCTGAAGTCTTTGGCTGAAAGAGACAACATACATGAATAGATTCATTATGAATATTTCTGTCAGCATGTTAACTATCCAGCTTTACCCTGTGCAGGTACGTTGTGGCTCAGGGAAGACAAGATTGGATCTTTACTGTTTGGAATACACAAGAACGACCTTCTGACATAGCTGTTCTTTAGTCCGTTGTCAGCAAACCTTAAAAGATCCCATGAAGTCAAAATGGATGTTAAAGTGTTTTTATCTCATATGTCTTGTTCTATACATCTCCTGTCTTCCAATATCTGTCCCAAAAAGGCCACAAAGTCATTGTTTAGGTATTTTCAGGTGTTCTTAATGGTATGTAATGGGAGGACGTGATGTTGGGGTTCCTCTGAGGACAAACCAAAATAGAGTTGATATGATCAGGTATGATGATCAAGGAACACTATTTGCTTTGTTTCTGAGAGTTACACCTTCAGATTGATTCCACTCTCATGTCTGTGCTGTGAATGTGACGCTACGGTCAGCTGCTGGTTGGCTGTTTCTTTAATCAGTACAAAAAGAGAAATTCATTATTTTATGGGGGTTACATGGCGGACTGTCACTGTGGTTTCAGTCCAGGACAATAATGACGGAGTGAACTGTATTATCTGCTGCCAGAGGAACCAGAGCTGACAGAAACCAGTCTGACAGCGTCTGAACCAGCTGGAGGAGTCGACACTGAGGAGACAAACACCTCTACTGTTACACCATGACATCACACGGCACCGCTGCTGACACTCAACACCGACCGAACAACAGCCAGTTACAGTGAGTCACATTCGCTCTGGAACAACGGGCCGTTCTGCTGCTAAAGGACCACACTATGTGTCCCACTGAAATTCATCAGTGCATCTTCACTAGGCCTGGGTTTCGGTTCCTGAATTTTATAATACCAATTTTATAAAAACTAATTTTAACAAAAGAAAATTACTTCACGGTACAATTACTCTGCTGTTTAAAGGTCTGGGAAGTGAAGAGACTGATGGAACATCAGTATAAAAACTACAAATAAAAATAACATGAATAACAAACAGTCAGCCTAATTCCAAAGATGAAAAAAGACACCTCAAAGCGCTTTTACACTACATGCCACATTCACCCTTTCACACACATTCACTCAGTGATGGCAAAGTCCATCGAACAGAAACTAATCATACACACTCACACACATGGCATCGGAAGCAATTTGGGGTTCATACTTCGACATGTGGCACCAGGAGCCGGGGATCGAACCCACAACCTTCCGATTAAGGAACGGCCCGCTCTGCCTCTGAGCCACAGCCGCCTCCACATGTCTGTGTGCCCGGGCGATGTTTGTATGACAATGTTTGTTTTGTATGGAAATCCAGCTTACTTTCTCTGTGCTAAAGAGCAGCTCCTGGTCTGAGCACGCCATGTCTACTGTCAGAAACACCTCGCCGCCATGTTGGCGAGGAGAGGACGCACTGGGGCTTTCGTCTTGGTGGACGATGGCGTGAACAGACTCACCAAGGGTCGCAAACTTAAACCCACTCGGGGTCACTGCTGGTATTGTGATCTCCTCAATGTTCCACAAGAAAGCACAATATTCTGAATATTTCCACTACTAACATCATACTTAGGAAAATAAAAAAGCAGACAGAAGTTTCTATCTATTTTCATATCCTCATTGTTGTTCAAAACAACAAATGAATGAATTGAGCTGGGATTTTCCACTTATCCTGGACTATATTGATATTATGCAGATTGAAATGAAACTGGACGGTGACACAGCTAATGAGCTACGCTAGCTTCATCTGCTTTGGACTCTCTGTTAGCTCAAAGCTCAGCTCTATTGCTGTCATCCAACGGCGCAAGTCAGAGGTCAAAGTTCATCAAAGTTGCAGATTTTGACTACAGGTGAACAGATAGTTGGTTGGCTCCTGTCTGTCCTCACTGCCTGCTGTCTGAATGCGACCGGCTCCTCCTCAGAGGAGAACAGAGCAGCAGTTTAAAACAGGAACTGCTTTATTGATGGCTCAGGTTACAGATTACAGCAGCTGCAGAGGTCTGCCTGTGGTTGGTTGGTTCCAGCTCGGAGGCAGAGTCAGACGGGAGCGCAGAGACAGTGTCCTGTTGGTTCAAACGTCTAACGTTCAAACAACAGGACACACTGTGATTTCTCTTTAGGGTCATTTCTAAGTTTGACAACAAAGGAACTTGAATCTCTTGAATATGGAGCCTGAAACAGACCTTGATGATTAACTAGCATTGGTTAGCCACTGTGCTAACCAGGATGTGTCAGGAGGATTGTTATCCTGCCAGTGTGTCTTTGACCCCGACAGCGAGGTCAGAGGTCAGAGGTCAGGGTGTGGTGGGGACTCTGTGTCAGCGTCTCTTCAGCAGGGTGGAGGTGGCTTCTCTGTGTGGCTTCATGTTGGGCGGGTGGGTGGAGGGGGTTTCCACCCCCACTGGGGGAATCCCATAGTAAGCCTATCCGTTGCCATGGTGACAGAGAAAGCCTCCAGCAGCTGATTTCACAGTGATTCACCAAGTGAGACGCTCAGTGTCTCTTTATACTCCCACTGTGATGGACTGCACACCGACACAGTGACCGGGGTCAAAGGTCACGCCACGCACCGGGGGAGGGGGTTGAAGAGTTTTCACACAGATCACATGACGACATTTTAAATGTGACTTCTAGAAGACCGTGTGCTCCGGATATCACATGCTGCACTGTATTCTGGGAAAAATCAATCGTGAACAGACAGCAGGAGCCGGGAGGAGGCGGGAGGAGCCGGGAGGAGGCGGGAGGAGGCGGGAGGAGCGTCCGTACGTCGGGCAGGACTGAAGGGTAAAAGATTCAAAGACACAAAGACAACCACCACGTCGCCCCGCTGATCTTCAGTCCTCTATCTATAGCACAACCAACAGTGTCCCTCACTGTCCCCTCGTCCTCAGGCAGGTACAGTACAGTGAGCACTATACCCGCCTCCTCGCCCCCTCCTGCAGCACTGAACGGAGGGGATTACTCCTCCCACATTTAACCTGCACAAAACTGATGGTTGTAAGACGACAGAGACAAACATGGTCACATGTTCACTGACTCAGCTGAGTTTGAGTTAGCATTAAAAGCTAAAGCTAGCCAAAGGTTTTCAATCACACATGAGTCTGTCACTCACTCGGGTGTGTAAAAACAACCAGGTGGGTAGTTCAGGGTGACTGGGAGATTTGAGTGCTCTGGACAGAAACGTTTCAGTCTCTGTGTGCTAACAGCCAGTAAAGCACTGTGGAACTGGGACTATTTCTTCTGTAGAAGTAGTTCCAGTGTCTCTGTGGATTAAAGCATTAAGGTTTGTCCTGCTGCGGTCTCTACAATTACCTTCAAATCAATGAATCAAGTAGAATTGATTTTATTAGAGAGGAAATTAGGTTATATTGTATTTATCAACCACTAAAACACATCATTAAAAGGCTGTATGCATGTACACTGTAAAACAATCTGTAAACTTACAGGAAAATGTCCTTTTTTCAAATAAAAAGTCAAATACATTTTGTATAACGTAGATATTTACTGTTTATTTAATAGATTAAACTGTTCAATTCAAGTTTAATACTGTTTACACTTAACAGTAAATAAAGTATTAGTTGTGTAATTTTAATGTATTAGTTAGTGAACAGACAGATATGTTGTATAATGATGGAAGTTGAATAAATGTTGTTTATCAGTGTATAAGCATTGGTAAACTGTCCAAATACAGTTGTTATCAGTGTAAACAGCAATAATTACTGTAATCTCACAGATAATGACTTTTATTACACTTCTAGAACTTTTAACATTCACATTCAAATAATAACAATCCAATAATAACAGCACTCTGCTGTAAATGTAAGTCTGATTATTGTATTATAGCAGAGTTCACCTGGATTTATAGATCATTGTTTTACATTCAGTTCAGTTTGATTTGTAAAGCACTAATTCATTAAAAAAAAAAAAAAAAAGCAGCTAATAGCATAAAACACCCCAGTGTCCCACCAGGCTGTCAGAGTTGCATTGTGGGTAATGAGACAGTAAAAGATGATTCCTCGGGCCCTTTTTCTTTAACAGTCTTATAGGACTGACAACCATCGTAAGGCCCCCAGAGGTTCTCACAGAGATCTGGATAAAGGGGGGTCGGTAGGGGCCCACACCTGGGGGGCCCTTTAACAGCCTCCTCTCAGAGTTAAAGCAGTCTGCTGCCTCTGAGCAAGGCACTGACCTTCTGAAGCCCTAATCAATAATCAATAATAACGCCACTTTATCAGTGTCATTACAACCATTCAACTCCATTAATAACAGCCTGCGTTGTACCTTTACTCACAATCCATGACAAAAACGGCTCCATTAATAACACAATCAACTCCATCAATAATCAATAATCGAAGCATTACCTGTTCGGACTCTCTCTCGCTCACCGGGGTCAGAGGCATCCTGCCGGACATCTTCCTGCTTCCCTCCGCGGCTGTCTGCTCGCCTCAGTCCGGAAGAAGCATCTCCTCCGCCGGCTGCTCTACAGCATCTCTCCCCGAGAACCAGGCCACCTCAGCGGGGCTCAGCCGGGAGGCTCCGCCGGCCGGAGGGAGAGGGAGGCCGGGGCGGTGGCTACGGGAAGGCCCGGTGTTCGCGCTGGAGCGGGAGAGAGACCCGCATGGAGACAAAGAGAGAGAGAGAGAGAGGGGGAGAGAGAGGGAGAGAGAGAGCGGGAGATAGAAAGAGAGAGACAGAGAGAGAGGAAGAAAAGGAGGAAGACGGTGAGCAGAAAGAAGAGTGTAACAATGTTTCCCGCAGCTTCCGGTGGATTCTCGACTCAAACAGCAGCACTGCGCCTGAAAAAACCGTGACGTCAGAGCTCCTCCCCGTCATCATCATCTTCATCATCGTCATCCTAAAAATATCCCAGCATCCTCAGCTGCTTCCTCTGAAACACACCACGCTCTGGATGGGATTATAGTGATGTCACCCGGAAGTCTTTTATTTTGTAACGTTTGAGCCTTTTAACGGAAGCAAACAGTTAGAACTGTAAATTATATTATTACTTTATATATATATATATATATATATATATATATATATATATATACGGACTCATTTGTGTTTGTAGTGTGAAAAAAACTAGTAAAAAATGTTTTTTAACTTACAAAATTGAGTTTGTGTGACTTTCAATGTAAATCAATTCAACAGTTTTTCTGGTTTGTTTAGCGTATTATTTAATACCTAACCTGTGATCACATGAACACAAGCTTTATTAGAACAATGACCCAGTATCAGGGAGAAGAAAACACTGAATGTATTAAAAAAGGAGGCAGTTAAGTCTGTATGATTACGAAAAAATTAAAAAAGAAATAGTGAAAATATCAGAAAAATGGATCTTTGATGACGTATTTACAGGAAAATAATCTCAAACAAATGCTTAAAATTCTTCCAAATCTTCATTGTGCAGTTAATCAGCGGTTCTGTGTTGAATGTGGACAGTTTACTCAGTGACCGATGAGGACTCCCTTAAGGAGACGGGTTGGGTTGCTGGTCTAGACTGTACCCTTTATAATATGATTTAGCATTATAAAGATGATTGTAGATTACACTTCAGTCATTCAGGCAATAAATTAGTTTTTACTTTGTAGTCTGCTGCCATCTGGTGGTCTGTTCACTTCTGTTCATTCTTTCAGATTAAAGAAACTTTAACTCTTGTGCGCAATAATTTTAGTTCCTGTACCTCAAAAATATGGGAGTGGGTTCTCTTCTGGTGGAGAACGGACAAAACAAACACTTGTTCTAGATTTGTTGAGGTTATTTAATTAGTTGCAATCTGCCACTTCACCACTAGATGCCACTAAATCCTACACAGTGGTCCTTTAATGATGAAGGTTATAAAAAGAAATAGATAAAAAAAAAAGGTTCTGAAAAGGTTCTTCAAAGAACCATCACCAACGGAAGAACCTCTTTACTCAGTGGATGGTTCTTCACATACATTATGTGTTTTTTGAAGTACTAAAGGTTCTTTATTTGGTAGTGGGTAATAGCGACAAATAACTATTATTTTCATTATCAGTGAAAGTGAAACATATTTTCTCAATAAGGCAGCAGATTGTTCCCATTTCCTTCACAGTTTTCCAAATGTCCTTGAAAGTCTAGTTACTACAGACTTTTAATTAGGCTCCTCCTCCTTCATCTACACTCAAAAGACTTTGATTGACAGCTCTCAGCTACATGCTCATGTAACCCTGGTCAGTTTTATCGTACTGTAATTTACAGAACCTTTGAATGCGTCTTAGTTGTTTCTCGTCTGGCAATGGAACTTCTGAGCTTACCTGAATGCATCACCTGCAGCTCTCGGTGTGTCTCAGAAGGTGAGTGACAAGAAAAAAAGGAAAAGAGAGAAACCTCATTCGGCGACCAACCGATGAACTGTCGTTAGAAAGGGAGTGTGAGGAGATACTTACCTGTGGAAGGTAGTCGATGACGGAGCGACTCCGACTGAGAGTTTCCTCGAGCTTCTCAAGATACTGAACCCCAAATTGCTCCCGATGCCGTGTGTGAGTGTGTATGATTAGTTTGTGTTCGATGGACTTTGCCATCACTGAGTGAATGTGTGTGAAAGGGTGAATGTGGCACGTAGTGTAAAAGCGCTTTGAGTGGAAGACTAGAAAGGTGCTATACAAGTACAGGTCCATTTACCGTTTACCAACTGTGATCCATATCACCCGCCATGCTGCATGGAGACTCTTGGTTCATCGGACCGCAGTGTGGACATCAGTGTGGTAGGACAACGCTCAGTCTCAGTATTTTTAGTTTATTTAGTTTTATCTTTTGTTAAAAAACAAACTGACAAAGGAACCTAAGGAACAGTTTTCTCCTTGGAGAACCCTGGAAGACAGACAACGGAAAACAGGAAAGAATAAGGACAATTGAACCCATTACAGGAGGGAAAGAAACAGGTTTTTATATTTGTTTTCTATATTGGTACTTACCTGGGTCAGCTAATTTTATTTTTCATTTTATTTCATACTGTGAATTTAATTTATGTGGAAAGAACTGCATTTCATTTACTGAGTGTAATGTTGTTGGTGTGAATATTTGAATATATACATTTATACCACATTCTGTGTTGTGTGTTATGTGGGCTGGGGATCAATTGCTCTCGTGCTTCAGTGCTACTGCCGATCTCCTTACCCGAACCTGGTTGATCAGACGGAACCCAAGGAGACTGAGAATAAGGTTCCACTTCACAAGTATTTCTATCAAAATATACTTAAAGTACCAAAAGTAAAAGTACTCATTAAGCAGAATGGCCCATTGCAGAATATATTATTGAATTATAATTATCGATGCAGTCTTGTGTTCATCACTTTAATGTTGCAGCTGGTAAAGGCAGAGTCCCCTTCCCTAATAATTATACACCAAGATTGATCTGTTGATTATTTTGTATGATAGTACCTCAATTGTTTTTGAGAAAATGTTGTTAGTTACTTTCCACGACTGGAAACCAAAAGAGAGTAAACTGATGTTAAAACCATAAAAATATTTTTCTAGTTAATCATTTCTTCTAAAACGGACTGTAGGTCTCCAGTTCACCTGTGTGACTCAATCTCATCTTATCTTCAGCTGAACTTTATGAGACATCTTTACACAGAATGAGGACTGTGGACTTTGTCCTCCATTTATTACAGTGCAGTTGTGTTCTGAAGGATCATAAATCTTTGAGAGTTTCAGTGTGTGTCAGCTGTCTGTTGGTTAGTGTCAGTCAACCTCTCGGTCTCTCTGTTGATCCAGTTTGTGTTGAGTTTACAGACTGTTCTCCCTCTCACATTCAACCATTTACCTGTTTTTCTTTCTCCTCTTTTTGGGGCTTCAGTCTTCCTGCAGTTTGGACTTTTTGGAGCTCTGTCAGTGTCTCAAGCTGCTGTTACTCTCCCATAAGACCTTTCAGTGACCCCTGCTGCTGACTGGCAGCACTACAGCTCAGACTGGGTTTCTGCTCTGACGTCAGACTGACGTTTCTGGACTCTGGTTTAAAGGAATGAGGGTGTGACGGCTGTCAGATGAACACAGACACCAGCAGCGACTGTCAGCGTCTGCATACGAAGGTAGAAAGTCTCTTTGAGCTCATCTGGACTTTAACATGACAAAGCTTTGATGAAGGAACTCTGCTGTCATTGGTTATATTTTGGGGCTACATAATAAACTTGTAGATGAGAGCAGTGATGAATTCTTTCAGCATTGTTATTTACTGTTTGTAGGTCTGAATATTCATGAATTCATTCACTGATTATTCTCTGATATGTGACTTTTTGGACAAAATGAGCCTTTTAATGTTCACTTTAGTCTGATTTAATCTGCACCAGGAAACAAGTTAGATTATAATGTGATCTGACGTCACTGCTGAGAACTCAGGGAGAACTTGTCTGACAGCTGGTCTGACTGGCACCAGGAGGATTGAGCACATCACCCCCATTCTGGCCTCCTTGCATTGGCTCCCAGTCCATTTTAGGATTCAGTTCAAAGTTATTAGTTTTTAAGGCACTTAATGGGCTGGCCCCAATATACATCGCTGACCTTGTACAGCCCTACTCTGTTCAAAGGTCCCTGAGATCCTCAAATAAAGGGCTTCTACATGTGCCACACTCACGGCTCAAACAGAGGGGTGATAGAGCCTTTACAGTTGCTGCTCCACCTCAGTGGAACCAGCTCCCCCTGGATATTTGATCTGCCCCCTCCATTTCTGCCTTCAAATCCAGGCTAAAAACCCACTTTTATTCCCTGGCCTTCCTTGTTCCCTAACCCTGTACTCCTGCTCATCCTATGTATTTCTGTGTTGTGTGCTCTGATATTGAATGTTTCCTTTTTATTCATGTTTTATAGAATTATTGACTATTGGTCCAATGTGGTTTTTTTTTATTATTATTTGTCTTTTTAGTTATCCACTGTACAGCACTTTGGTCAGTTTATGCTGTGTTTAAATGTGCTTTGTAAATTAAATTTACCTTCTTACTTACTTTTGACTGAAACTTGATCAGCTGTTTATTCTCTGACTGTACATAACTACACACACAGCAGTGAATATAAGACCAGCATTTTATGTAAAACACATATATAATTATTTCACTATTTATTTAAGTACTTCATGGCCCTGTGTTGCAGTGCTTCATGAATTACTTTAATCTGTCAAACTCTCCCATCAAAGTTGGAAGGCGGATCCTAACGCCTGATTGATCAAGCCAAGGCAAATCAATTCCAGATAATGGATTGATGCAGAGCTAGTGAACACATTCCAATACACTGGGTGGCGCTATTGGACTACTTCTTCTAAATCTGCAGTCACTCTGTGGTCAATATCTCGGTCAGAAAGTGCGGAAATAACTCCAAGAACTTCAATAAGTGCCTCTGCTTTACTCGCTACATGCTCTGGGTCAGCAGCTCCTGCTTCCACATCCTCTGCTAAGTCTAAAAAATAAAATAAAGTGTTTAACTTTAGAAAAATAAAGTGTAGCAGCAGCTTTCTGTTCTTCAGTGAGAGAATTGAGCTCTAACCTCTCTCCCCTGTTGGGCAGTGAATGAATGGGTCAGGATACTGGTTGAGTGATCATATTGGGATCTGAGCCTGCTTATTTTCTGTGACATCGTTCAGACTTGAGTGGGTATGTTTAATGAAAACTTTGTTTTGTCTCATAGTGGCGTTTCACACTGGCACTTTTAATCAGCGCCACGGTCTCTGAACATATGAGACACACTGGTTATGTGCTCCCAGTGGGAAGAATGAATCTGTCCATTAAAAGCTCTATTTTCTATCCACTTTTCTCTTCTTAGAGAGCGCCATAAATCTTCTGTTGTCTTGTGCTCACTCATCTTTCTGTTTCCTCTCCATGTATCGCTAACTTCTCTTTCCGTCTGTCACTCGCCTCTCATCGCTCTCATCTCTGTATTCAAAGTCGCGCTGTTGTTTACACAGATTTGATTGGCTGAGCAGCATCACGTGGGATGGCTTAACTCGCATGCGATTGGTCTGTAAGCTTCCTGATCCAATAAACAAATGCCGTAAAGACTAAAAAAGCTGTGCTGGTTAAAATAGAAGCGCCCTATCAAAATGTAGGGCCTGTCCTCACGAATACGTTTTTCACGAATCCGGATAAATACTTTGTCGTATGGACCAGATCTTTCTGGAATCTACGCCGTGTTTACGAAGATTTCTTTAGCAACGATATCTTATTGGGTGAGGCCGCGTATTCCTGAGGAAAGGGCTTTATAATCCCTCAATAAATAATTGATTATAGGTCTGGGTCCGCATAGGATGGCGTCTGGGTCCCGACTCAGACCACGGTCTGCCTGTTAGCAACCTCTGCCCTAGAAAGTTCATGACGATCCTCCATCGTCTCTATCCAGGCACTCTACTTCAGACCAAAGCAATGGATCACACTAGATTCACGTTAGCCCCACCCACTGACTTTGATAGGTCAGTTTGACAGATTAGAGTAATTCATGAAGCACTGCAACGCAGGACCATGAAATAATTAAATAAATAGTGAGATAATTATATATGTATTTTACATAAAAAAAAAAAATCGTTATTTGAATGAATTAATGACACATCTAATAACACATTTATGTATTTAATTTTTTTTTTTTTTTTGGCCTTTTATTGCCTTTATTTGATAGATACAGCTAAAGATAGACAGGAAGGGGGAGTAGAGGGGGGGGATGACACGCAGCAAAGGGCCGCAGGTCGGATTCGAACCCTGGGCCGCTGCAGCAAGGACTCAGCCTCGGTACATGGGTCGCCAGCTCTACCCACTGAGCTAACCAGGCGCCCCCTTAATTTTTTTTTTAATTTAAATTTCATTATGCACACAAATTACACTAACACAGCTTGTGTGTCGGCCAATCAGAACTCCTGTTGCTGCTCTGATAAATATGTGTAACTGTTTTCCTTCAGGTTGATGGTCTGACTTTAACAGGGAGCCACAATGACAGCAGAGGACCTTTTGAACACTCTAGAGAATTTAAAATTTAAAGAATTCGAGGACTTCAAATGGTATCTGAAGCAGCCTGTCATCCTGGAAGGCAACAAACCCATCAAAGAATCCAAGCTGGAGACAGCAGAAAGGCGGGACACAGTGGACCTGATGGTGAACAACTATAAACTTCCCGGAGCTCTGAAAGTGACCAAGATGGTTTTAGAAAAGATAAACAGGAACGATCTGGTGAAGAGTCTGCCAGACACCAGCTCAGGACCAGAAGGTCAGTCACACTTGGGTGGGTTGACAACACAATTGTTAAATACAGAAGCTCACTGTATTCACCAAAGAAAAACAAATGGCGGTCTGATTATAGCCTGTTACTATGAGAAAATGTTATCCAATGTGAAATGTGACGTAAAATAAAGCAGAAGTATCCTGCAGGTTGTTGTTGGAGAGTTTTTGTATTAGACACAGAGTGATGATGAACAGTTAGTATGTGAACATTGCACAGAGATCTACAATCTTTGGGATTATTCAGGCTGAAAGAAGTCAATCTGTTTCTTCAGGAGCAGCTAGACAAACACGAGATATTGAATGGATACAAAGTCAGTGATCAGAAATACATCAATAACATTTATGGCCCTATCTAAATACTACGGGAACATTTGGTATCTAAATAAAACACAATAAATGTGATTATAATACAGAGGACTGAGGGGAATGGAGCACAGTGATTAATTCACAGCCTTTAACTGAACAAACAAACCAATGTTTGGACACTACTGTGGTTTCATCTGAGTCAAAATGACAATGTAATGATCTTCTTTATCCAGAGACGTATGTAATGGGTTATATCTTATAGCAACAGACTGAGTGTTTCAGTATTATATTCTCAGAGTCTTGTAATTGTAGGACATTATATGAATTATAATGTGATACATAGGTTTTCATTCAGATTTGAAATATAACACAATCTCTCTGTCAGTGGATAACAGTGATGTTGCAGAAACTTCAGAGACCAGAGGACCTTCCTCCTCTCAGTGTGAAGGTAAAGTTGCTGTTTTCTCTGGTATGTATGGAAGCCCTGAAAGACAAAGTGTAGTTCTTATAGGCTGTCTGTGGCTCAGGAGGTAGAGCAGGTCGTCCACTAATCAGAAGGTTGGTGGTTCGATCTCTAGCTCCACCTGCTGCACGTCAAAGTGTCCTTGAGCAAGCTACTGAACCCCACATTTCTGTTTCTGATGGGCAGGTGGCACCCTCTGCCAGTAGTGTATGAATGTGAGTAAATGTGACATATAGTGTAAGGCACTTACTTACAGTCTGAAGACTAAAAGGCACTACATGCAGTGAATGCAGTCCATTTACCATTAATAGCATCAAATCACTAATTAAAAAGAAACTCATGAAACGATTCAATTCAGCATACATCAGTGTGATAACAAATAATATAATATTTATATTATAGTATATATTGTATTATATACTAAAATAATAGAAACAGTCTATGTATATGATGAGTTTACTGCTGTTCGCTCTGGCTTTATCTGGTCCATACAGTACAGGAGGGGCAGAGTGAGGGAGATTGTCCACTAGTTAAATGACTGTGGATACTTAATGGGAGTGAGAGAATGTTTTGTGCCATTACTTGTTATTGTATAAAAATATTTTCGGTTCATTATGAAACTATGGCGGGACAAATTAGACCATGGTAGGCTGCCATAGTTTAGGTAATTAACGGGAAACACTGCATGTACATGAACAGTAACAGAAGTTAAGCAGTCCTATGCTTAGCCACGAACACTGTTTCCGATGTCAGAAAGTCTCTGCTGTGCGGTGTCAGCGTGTCAAGGCTGCTGGTTCACTCCTATTGTCCTTGAGTTAGCAGTTAACCTCTCTGCGCTAATACTTTGGGTCACTCCTGTGTGTCTATAGCCATGGCCGCTAACTTCGGCTCATTTAAGGGAAAGATAGGTCCATGTACCATGCTGTATTCCTTTCTTGCACCAAGGTGAACAAATTAATTTTTAAAACATCCCAGTGGACCCAACACCTTTCATTGGTTTGTTGGTTGGTTCATTATAACTGAGTGAAAGCAAAGCTATGAGAATGTGATGAGATTTAGTCGAAGTAGCTTCAGTCTTTGAAAGCATTCTATCTTAAATCTCTCAAAAAAGGCCACAGAAGCTATTTCTGGTCTTACATTCATTTTCAAACATCTACAATATTTTGGGGATTTTTTTTGGCTAGAATAGAAATTGAATGAAAATGTATTTTGTCTGTGGTTTGCAGCTGTCGGGAGACATTAGATATCTATGAACCTAAGTTAATTGTTGTGACAGTGGATTGAGCTGAAGGAGTTTCAGTCAGCAACATCGGGCCTGCAAACACTGTTACTCAGCTCATGAAAGATGAAGATTTAGAGAGTTCAATACGGAAAAGGAGGAAAAGTGCAATGGAAACAGACTTAGTGAATACATGTTTTTATTAATTGAAAAGATGTAAACACATAAAACACAATATTTGTAGCAAACATTCGTGCAATTGTTATGTATAACAGTCGTTATTCTTCCTGAGGTCCGCACAGTTTTTATGACACATTGTAATACACATATACTGTAGATAAGACAATAACAATTAATGCACTCTGTAGACAAAAACAAATTAAAAGAATTACAAAAAAAGTATCAACATTTCACCAGATTGTCCGTGAACACTAAGCAACCATGGGTTCCTCTAAGAAGCTGTGTAAGACTGAAAATGAAAGTTATTGATGCCCACTGATATGATAGCAAAGCATTGTCAGCTTGCAGTTTCCACAGTGTGAAATGTAATTAAGAGATGGCAATTTAAGGGAACTGTGGCAGTCAAGATGAGATCAGGAAGACCAAGGAGACTCTGAGTGAGTTGCTCATTAGGGGTGGGTAAAAATATCGATACTGCAATATATCGCGATACTTTGCCGCCCGATACAATATCGATTTTTCAACTCCAAAGATCGATTTTTTTAAAGAATAATGATTCATGTTTAGACACGTTGTGAATACAGCATAACTTCCGTACCTCCACTAGATGGCGCCGAAGAGCGACTCTGCTGTGCGGCGGATGTATTTCTGTATTAGAGAGAGTGGCTGAGGACTTTCCAAAATGGCTATCAAAATAACAACGCCTCCGCAGTTTAAAGCCGACGTTTGGAAGCACTTTGGCTTCCAAGTTAAAAAAGATAGTAAGAACAACGAGTTGGATAAAGATAATGCCGTTTGTAAGCCTTGTCTCGCTGCCGTGAAATACTATGGGAACACAACGAACTTGCGAATTCACCTAGCAAGACACCACGCCGAGATATTAATTCATTTCAGCCGTCCCACTCAGGGCTCCTCAGAGTGCACCAAGCTAAATGGGGGGGACACGTACGACTCGCAAAACAAAGATGGCTGTGCCCATATTGAGATGTATTTTATTTGTATTTGACTACGTTGGTCGTTTTAATGTCGATTTTAAGTGCTCCTACACACTGTTTACATTGCTGCTTTACTCCGGTCACCAGTTTATGCATTGCACCGTGTTGCTGTGCTGCAATACAATGTGAAGTTTTGTTTTCGAGGTGGTTTGCTAAATAGGCTAATGTAGCTAACAATAACACTAGCCTGCCACTACCCTTGGTGGCCCCTGGAGGCCCCTGGTGGCCCCTGGTGGCTCGAGACAAATGCCACAGCACTTGTTGAAATTGAAATAGGCGAAAATGGCAAAATATTATTGAAATGTAAGACTTGCAATAACGGAATTACTTGAAATATTTCTGTAGAAAAACATTATTATTTCACATTGAGCTTGTTTAGATGATCCACAAGCGATAAAAACACAGCTGCTGCACTGGTAGCGTCCATGTTCTGTTAAATTAATAAAAGGGAGAGGCTGTTTTGAATGAAATAGCTTTGACTCAATTTGTCCTCTGATCAATATCATCTGATGTGCATATACAGCATATTTCATCTCTATTTATATTGTGATATCGTGATACGTATCGTATCGTGTCGTGACCAAAGTATCGTGATACGTATCGTATCGTGAGGTTCTTGGCAATACTCACCCCTACTGCTCATATGTTAGAAAGAGAAACCAGAACCTACATGGGAATACAAAAAACCTGCAGGAAGATTTAGCAGATAGGAACTCCACTGTCTAGAGCTGCATGTGCAAACAAAACTTTCATAAAAGAGTCTGTAGAAAAAAAAACCTTACCTATGTCCACAACATTAAATCCAGTGCTAGAAGTTTGCAACAGAACATCTACAGAACCCTGATATGTTTGGAAACAACTGCTGTGGACTGATGTCCAGTTAAAATAGAACTCTTTGGCCACAATCAGCAAAGGGATGTTTGAAGAAAAAAGGAGCAGCAGTTCATGAAAAAGAACTCCTCCCCAACTGTTAAGCATGGGGGTGGATCTGTTATGTTTCATGGTTGTGTTGCAGCAACTGGCACAGGAAACATTGCACATGTGGATGGATTCCACTAAATATCAAGCAAATTCTGAAAGAAAAACATCACATCATCTGTAAAAACGCCAAAGCTGAAAAGAGGAAAGCTTCTACATAAAGATAATGATCCTAAACACACCTCGAAATTCACCATGGCCTCAAGCAGGGGTGGACTGGGACAAAAATTCAGCCCTGGCATTTTGTGTCGAGACCAGCCCACTACATTATCAGCAGTCACTACATAGAAGTCCACAAATCTCGCAGCATCTCCTCTCATGCATACTACAAAGGAGAGTCATATTCCTTGATAGCAGTTAACAAATAAAGCATGTAACTATGAACTCAAGGACTAAAACTGACAGCTATAGCAATCAGTCAATCAGTCTTTATTCATTATAGTGTCAAATCACAACAGAAGTTATGTCATGACTAGGGGTGGGACGAGACTAACGGGAAGAACCCTCATGCTACCCTTTCAGTTTTTAGTCTGTGACTGTGAAAATCTTTTGGTGTAAGCCCAGCATTAGTTAAAACCAGACTCGGACAATAATAACAAAATATCCTGACAAATAATCTAAATAGAAACATATTACAGACAGTAGCAGCATTAGAGCTGAAACTCACTGGTTGTAACGGTGACTCAGTCATTATGAAACCATAAAATAATGATCTATAGCTGTGTGAAAAAGTCTAAGACATGAATTACAGCTCTGAATAGATATGCATTCTCATATACGTGTATGTGCACATGTATATATTGCCCTACTTCCTCGTCCGCAGCCAGCCAGCACCACTCCTCACCAAATTCATGACCTGCAAGAAACAGCAAACAGAACCTGTACTCAGTATCTGTGTACTGACAACTATATGTAGCCATCTAGCCTTTTTGTGATGTAGTGACACTTAGTGAACAAATGTATCTGTCATGAAGGATGACTGAAGTCTCAAAAGAGCCCTAAGGCCTACCTGCCTACCTAGTCATCCCCTCTCTCTGTAACCGTTTCCTGTCTGTCTTCAGCTGTCACTATCAATTAAGGACAATGAAATAAAAAATAAAAATGAAAATAAACTTTAACTTTACAAATCACTGACTAATAGAATACTGTCCACAGGCAATGTGCTCCAACTGAAAGTTTGACTGCAGTTTAGTTGTTTTTACTTTCTGTTTATGTCACACAGATGAGATTGTTCCTGTACCAAAACCACGCCACATCTCACATTACCAACAAAACCTTCAATCAAACCTCAAAGATAGGTTTATGTGTGCACAAGAGGGGTGGTTGGAGATGAAGGATGAGCAACCTCTGCTTGATATCTACACAGAACTGTACATCACAACTGGAGGTGACATACACATCAACACACAGCATGAGGTCAGACAGATTGAGGCGGTGGGGAAGCCAGCAGAAACAGAGACACCAATTAAACCCAGTGACATATTCAAACCCCCCTCTGGAAAAACAAGAGCCATAAGAGCAGTGCTGACCAGGGGAATCGCAGGAATTGGCAAAACATTTCTTGTGCTCAAGTTTGTGTCAGACTGGTCTGAAGGAAGAGCCAATCAAGATGTTCATCTCATATTTCCCTTCACCTTCCGCCAGCTGAATTTATTGAAGGGAAAAAAGTTCTGTTTGGCAGAGCTCATTCATAAAAGTATCAGGGAGACCAAAGACATCCCAGAAGAAGCTCTGAATCACATCTTTACAACACTGCAGTCATCAGGAAACACCAACTATGACAGAAGTAAATACAAACTTCTGTTTATTTTGGATGGACTGGATGAGAGCCAGTCCATCAACTTCAACTGGACTGCTCTACCAATAAAACCCAGGACACAGACTTTGATGTGACAAAGTCAACCTCAGTGGATGTGCTGCTGTCAAACCTCATCAAGAAGAATCTGCTTCCCTCTGCTCGCCTTTGGATAACCACACGACCTGCAGCAGCCAATCAGATCCATTCTGATTTTGTTAACATAGTGACAGAGGTCAGAGGGTTCACTGACCCACAGAAGGAGGAGTACTTCAGGAAGAGGTTCAAAGATGAGGAGCAGGCCAGCAGAATCATCTCCCACATCAAGACATCACGAAGCCTCCACATCATGTGCCACATCCCAGTCTTCTGCTGGATCACTGCTATAGTTCTGGATGGTGTGTTGAAGACCAGAGAGGGAGGAGAGCTGCCCAAGACCCTGACTGAGATGTATGTAGAATTCCTGGTGTTTCAGATTCATCAGACAAAAGAGAAGTATGACCAAGAACAGTGCATTCAGTACATTAAGTCATTAGCAAAACTCGCTTTCCACCAGCTGGAAAAGGGCAACCTGATCTTCTACGAGAAAGATCTGAAAGAGAGCGGCATTGATGTCAGTGGAGCCTCAGTGTGCTCAGGAGTGTTCACAGAGATCTTTAAAGAGGAACATGGGAAGAAGAATGATGAAGACAAGATGTTTAGCTTCGTCCATCTGAGTGTTCAGGAGTTTCTGGCAGCTTTATATGTGGAGATGTCGCTCATCAACAAAAACAAGAATGTGATGTCTAAGGTAGCACAAACTGTTGGTGAACATCTGCGAGCATTTTTTAAAAAATCTGTGACAGCAGTCCACAGGTTTGCTGTTGACAAGGCCTTACAGAGTCCAAATGGACACCTGGACTTGTTCCTCCGCTTCCTCCTGGGTCTCTCTCTGCCAACCAATCAGACCAAACTCCCTCAAGGCCTACTGAAAGAGAGAAGAAGCTCACAGACCAATCAGAAAACAGTTGAGTACATCAAGAAGAAGATCAATAAGAATCTGTCTCCAGAGAGAAACATCAATCTGTTCCACTGTCTGAATGAACTGAATGATCGTTCTCTAGTGGAGGAGATCCAACAGTACCTGAGTTCAGGAAGTCTCTCCACAGATGAACTGTCTCCTGCTCTGTGGTCAGCTCTGGGCTTCATCTTACTGTCATCAGAAACAGATCTGGATGTGTTTGACCTGAAGAAATACTCTTTGCCAGTGGTCAAAGCCTCCAACAAAGCTCTGTAAGTGCACAGATATCTGCAGATACTAAATGTGTCACATGTATGGGGCTGATTAATTTGGTGATTGTTCAAACAATCTTTCCAGTTGTTTCTTGTAAAGTGTTTCCTGTACAGATGAATATGCAAGTAAAAAAAAGCACTGAAGGTAATTTCAGATTTCTTTTTAAAACTTTTGATAGATGGCCTTTAATTTCCAGTAATTTACTCAAAACATTAATTCAAAGACACATTCTCGTCTCTTGGGATCCTAACAAATTATCGTTTCACTTATCAAGTCAATAAGGGCAACCATAGAAACTTGATGTTTTTTTACATTGTAGATAACAAAAGTATCAGTGCTTGTCTTCCTCTCTAACTGTTCTATAGGCTGAGTGGCTGTAATCTGTCAGAGAGAAGCTGTAAAGCTCTGTCCTCAGTTCTCAGATCCCAGTCCTCTAGTCTGAGGGAGCTGGACCTGAGTAACAACGATCTGAAGGATTCAGGAGTGAAGCTGCTCTCTGCTGGACTGAAGAGTTCACACTGTACACTGAAGACACTCAGGTCAGATCACACTGATCTTTTGTTTAACACTTTTTTCTTTTTTGGTAAAACAAACATAAGACAGACATGAATTCCTTTGATTTCTACTGTGTTGTTGATAATCATTATCTGCACTTTGGATGATAAAAATATTCCACAAATTCACTTGATTACCGATTGATTTGTTGATTACTGACCATAAACGGGATGCTAAAGTAAAAAATATAAGGTGTTTTGTTTTTAATCAGGTTAAATCACAACGGGCTTACAGAGGAATGCTGTCAGGAGTTCTCAGCAGTTCTCAGCTCCCAGTCCTCTATTCTGAGAGAGCTGGATCTGAGTAACAACAATCTGAAGGATTCAGGAGTGAAGCTGCTCTCTGCTGGACTGAAGAGTTCACGTTGTAAACTGGAGACTCTCAGGTCAGGCTTAGCTTTGACTGTTTAAATGTTGACAAACAAGTAAGTGATAATTGAAAAATGTACCATATAGAATTACAATGCGTGAATCGAAAATAAAAACACTGCAGTAACAGTTCTAAGAATCAAGATTCATAATGTATTCTGCTGTTGTTCATAGTCACAGACACACAGAGAATTATCACGACTTTGCTCGTCCCCTCAGATCCTGAGGAGTCTTTCTGCTCATTATGTTTTTCTGTTTTGATTCACTCTCACTGCTCTCATCAGAGCCTTTTTCAGCAGCAGCAGGCAGCTGTTTTCATCAAACAGCTCTGATGAACTCACTGTACACTACCTGCCCAGCAGCAAACAGCAGACACACACAGTTAGACACTAGGTGGTGAACATAGTGGAACAGGAAAAAAAATTAAAGAAGTGTGTGTGTGTGTGTGTGTGTCCAGACTGTCAGGCTGTATGATCTTAGATGAAGGCTGTACTTCTCTGGCCTCAGCTCTGAGATCCAACCCCTCCCATCTGAGAGAGCTGGACCTGAGCTACAATCATCCAGGAGACTCAGGAGTGAAGCTGCTGACTGCTGGACTGGAGGATCCACACTGGAGACTGGACACTCTCAGGTATGAACAGACAACCAGAGCTCACACAGTGTTTCTGTCACACTGACTATCTGAGGACTGTTGGTTCACTATGGGGGTATGTTCCTATCTTTATTCAAGAGCGTAAAGCAAAACTATTTGCAAATGTGAGTGGAGAGTTGTGTAACTGTAAATGTATAAACAAATCTATAAAAGGGTCTATAGATCTGACAATGTGTGGACTAATATATAATAATAAGTATTTGCTCCAAGAGCTGGAAATACAGATAATTCATTGGTTACAACTCAGGCGGGTGTCACACTGTAGATAATACAGATAGCTGGGACCAGAGTCTAGGTTCAGAGGAGAAGTTTATGACTAGAACTCAGGAATAACAGACCACAGACCAAGAAATAAGTTTGAACTGGCAGCTTATTTATGTAGAAGAGATGAGTAGTAAATACACACAAAATGGCACCAAATCACACACCCCATATACACACAGACAGAATTTTGTATTAAATTTTCTTGAAAGCTTCAAAAATAAAACCTGGATTCTGTGTGTGCCTCAGTAGCCACACCCACTTCTGATCTGTCAGAATTGAAGCTAAAGTCAGGTGTAAAACGAGTCAATTGAGAGTCCTGCCTGAGATGTAACTGATGAACAGTATGTATTTCCAGCTCTTCGAGCAAACACTGAGACTGCTCAGTCATTAATATGATTGTCTTCAAATGTTAAAATGCTGTTTTTGTGACACATGAGCTTAAACTCAGAGTCAAACATCACTCCTAGATTTCTTGCTGTTTTAGTGTGAGGTCAGTTTGTCTCTCTGAGCCTTTGGACCAATGATCAGTTCTTCTGTCTATGGAGATCATTGATGAGGAAGCTTCTGAAGGTTCATTCTGACTCTGTTTCTTCCTCCAGGGTGGAACACGGTGGAGTGCAGAGGCTGAAACCTGGTCTGAGGAAGTGTAAGTGTGTGTTCACTTTGATGAAAACATGTTAAAGTAGTTTCAATCAAAAGCTTGTGTATCTGCATTCAACTGTCAGTTTGAAAGAAGATCCAAACAGATGAGTCATTGTGAAGTTTTGATCTAATTAACAGTCAGTCTGTTAATAAAGCAACAAATAAAGCCATCAGCTGTGTTAGATGATAAACTGCTGCTGTATTGAGTCTTGTTCTCTCCATCAGATTCCTGTGAACTCACAGTGGACACAAACACAGTGAACAGAAACCTCAAACTGTCTGACAACAACAGGAAGGTGACGTATATGAGAGAGGAGCAATCATATCCTGATCATCCAGACAGATTTAATGTCTGGGCTCAGCTGCTGTGTAGCAATGGTCTGACTGGTCGCTGTTACTGGGAGGTCGAGTGGAGAGGAAGAGTTTTAATATCAGCGAGTTACAGAGGAATCAGCAGGAAAGGAGGTGCTGACTGCTGGTTTGGAGAAAATAAACAGTCCCGTAGTCTGGAGTGCTTTGATGATGATGGTTACTCTGTCTGTCACAATAACAGAAGAACAGACCTCTCCTCTTCCTCCTCCTCCTCCTCCTCCTCCTCCTCCTCCTCCTCTGTCTCTAACAGAGTAGCAGTGTATGTGGACTGTCCTGCTGGCACCTTCTACAGAGTCTCCTCTGACACACTGATCCACCTCCACACCTTCAACACCACATTCACTGAACCTCTTTATCCTGGGTTCTGGTTAGGGTTTGGATCCTCGGTGTCTCTGTGTTTAGTGTAGGAGGAAGAGTCTCCTCCTGTTAGAGAAACACTGCTGACAAACACACACAAACACCTGAGCCTTGTTTCTGTTGGAGTCCATATTTCTTTACTTGATGGTGAATCTGTGTCATGAAAAGTCACGCTGCATTCACTACGATCACTTCCTGTTTGTACTGTAACCAATTGAAGGCATTTTATTTTTCTTCCCAAACAAACGCATATTTGGAGGTATGTTCTACTCCTAGCAGGATGATCAGATATAACTGAAATTTAGTCAGGGAATGCAAAAGATGTTGTTGATGATATTTTATGAATGTGGTGAGTTTTTGTTCCGTGGTGTGGTGCCATATTTTGATGTACTGCCAGAACACACAAATTTGCTATAACTTGAGTGTACATTGTCCAATCGTCTCCAAACTTCATTTGTCTGATAAGAGTACCGCCCTGAACACATCTATGTGATAATATTCACTAATAGTGAGAGCGCCACTTAGTGGTGAAAGGAAATGTCATTTTTATACTTGTATTTATATCTTCCAGTAGATTGACCAGATCCATCTGAAATTATGTCAGACGTTCCTTAGAACGATGACGATGACATTTTATGAATCTTAAGAATTTTCAAAGAACCATGAACATGCCAGAAAACTCATGAAACTTTGTACAAAATTCAGTCGTGGCAAAGGCTAAGGTATTGTCTTGGTCCAACGGATGGGCATTGCATCATGGCTTAGCCACACCCCCAAGAATCAGCCCTCAAGACACACATGACCGACACGAAAATTGGTACGCATGTTTATCATGATGGGACAAGCAAAAAAGCCTCTTGGACCCATAACCCAAACACAACAGTGGTCGGCCATTTTTAAATTTCACAACTTATAACTTCAGCGTACGTGATCCAATCTCAACGAAACTTCACATGTTTGATAAAAGTCCCGCACTGAACACGTCTACATGACAATATTCAGTAATAGTGAGAGCACACCCTGAGTTGCTTGGAGTGCGAGGGCCTGTTCATCGCTGCTTGCAGCTTTAATTATTGCTGTTTTCACTGATAAAAACTATATTTTGACAGTTTACCAATGCTTATACACTGCTACAAATCATTTATTCAACAGTAAAATAATTGTCACTAATTTTACATAATTTTCTAAATGTATTAACGGTATTTAACTTGAATTTCACATCTTAATGTATTAAATAAACATTAAATATCTGAAAAATGATATATTTGTAAATGATTTTTAATCTTTTCATATGAAACATGGACATTTTCTTTAGATAAGCTTCTGCTTTCCTCAGCAATGTTTGTTCATGTTTCTAACACATGATGATAGATCCTTAATATAATGATTCAGATTTGGTCTGATGACATTTTCCATCCTGTAGCACTCGCTCTCTGAGCTTTATCAGAGTGTCAGACTGCAGAGTGACCAGCAGGAGGCAGCAGATCCACACAAACACACACAGAAATAACATGAGAGACTTCAGAGGTGGATTCAGAGTCACATTAAAACCTGTTGAGAAGTCAGTTTGCTGCACTTTCTGTCAGGTCAATAGTTGATGTAATAATAACTGCATACTGTGCACCTGTCTGTCTGTCTGTCTGTCTCTCGCTCTCTCTCTCTCTCTCTGTCTCTCTCTTTCTCTCGCTCTCACCCCAACTGGTCGAGACAGACGACCACCCACCTAGAGCCGAAAAGTCTGTCCTAGGTTTCTGCCTTTTAACATGCAGTTTTTCCTTGCCCTTGTCTCCAAGGTCTTGCTCATGGTGGTACTGTTGGGTCTCTGTAAATAATGTTATAAGGAGTTCGGTCTAGACCTACTCTATTTGAAAAGTGTCCTGAGATAACTTCTGTTATGAATTGGCGCTATACAAATAAAATTGAATTGAATTGAATTGAATACTATAATAATGTAATAATTCATTCAGAGGCAGGCTTACCATTAGGCAAAGGGTAGCAATTGCCTTAGGCCCCAAGCTACTAAGGGCCCCAAAAAATACCTTAAAAACTGATGGTTGAGAAAGTTCTTTTAAACTTTTTGCTAATTAATTATGTCTTAAGAAAAATTCATTCATGAGTGTCCCAGTCCCCTAAGTGTTTAGGAAATAGTCGTGGATTTAGTGGCATCTAGTGGTGAAGTTGCAGATTGCTCATCCTTCCATGCATGTAGAAGAAACTACAGTGGCTGCAAAACCATACAAACTGCCCTATCTAGAGCCAGTGTTTGATTTGTCCCTTCTGAGCCACTGTAGATGTAACAGAGTTAAAACTGCACTTTATCAATTCTTATTTCTTATGTCTTCTGCAGGAGCAAATAAATGCTGGAAAACAAGTCACTGAGTCGTCTCCTTACATGCCCTACCCACATCTGTTACACAGACACATCAGTATGTATCTGTATGTACATAATGTACTATGTTTAATTCACTGGTTGACTGTAGATTTTATCATCTGTGTTCTACAGAGTAATATTTAAGGTCAAACTTTGCAGTAACCTGACTGAAAGAAACACTTGTGAACATTAGCAGAGCAGCAGAGATCATAATCACACTGTTTGGGGAACCAAACTCTACATGCACATTTAAATTTCCTCTTTTCACAACTCTTCGTCATGAAGAGATTCAGCTGTCAGTCTGAAGAGAATCAACAATACTTACGTCAGGGGAAAGACGGTGAGCGTTAAATGCATTTCTATTTCTTCTTCAGTTGCAGAATATACATGCTACACTACCAGTCAAAAGTTTGGACACACCTTCTCATTTAATGGTTTTTCTTTATTTTCATGACTATTTACATTGTAGATTCTCACTGAAGGCATCTAAACTATGAATGAACACATATGGAATTATGTAGTAAACAAAAAAGCGTGAAATAACTCTAAATATGTTTCTATAGATTCCTCAAAGTAGCCAGAGATTCCTCTGCCACACATAGTTCTAGTAGCAGACACATCAACTGTTCAGAGGAGACTGCGTGAATCAGGCCTTTATGGTCAAATGCTAAAAAAATGCTAATGCTGCTAAAAAAAAACACTACTAAGGAAAAGCAACAAGCAGAAGAGATTTGTTTGGGCCAAGAAACACAAGGAATGGACATTAGACCAGTGGAAATCTGTGCTTTGGTCTGATGAGTCCAAATTTGATCTTTGGTTCCACCCGCCATGTCTTTGTGCGATGCAGAGAGAGATTTTTCAACAGGACAATGACCCCAAACACACCTCCAGGCTGTGTAAGGGCTATTTGACCAAAAAGGAGAGTGATGGAGTGCTGCACCAGATGATCTGGCCTCCACAGTCACCTGACCTAAACCCATTCGAGATGGTTTTGGATGAGATGGACCACAGAGTGAAGGCAAAAGGGCCAACAAGTGCTCAGCATCTCTTGGAACTCCTTGAAGACTGTTGGAAAACCATTTCAGGTGACTACCTCATGAAGCTCATCGAGAGAATTCCAAGAGTGTGCTAAGCAGTAATCAAAGCAAAGGGTGGCTATTTTGAAGAATCTAAAATACAAAACATATTTTGAGTTATTTCACACTTTTTGTTTACTACATAATTCCATATGTGTTCATTCATAGTTTTGATGCTTTCAGTGAGAATCTACAATGTAAATAGTGTGGCCAAATGGCACTTGAATCGTTGCCATGCCGGGTACACGCCTTCAAAAGTCGCTTCAGCACCCTCTAGGGTACATGGCCGGTGGAGTCCTGCCTCCTATTGTGTTTGTCAACCCAAGCACATGGCCACCCAGCTAGGCTACAACAACACTAATTACCACCTCAAGCTGCCTCCCGTTTGCCCTCGTCAGGCCAGGACAAAGGGAGCCACACCGACCAAGGAAAGGGAGTCTGTGTTTGCCTCTCCAGCTAACCACTGCTCTATTTTCTGCACCCAGAAGGCCCGTAAACCGAACACAAGGAGGACAGGAGCCGAACGACCCGCCCAGCTGCACTGGAACTCGAGGTTTCCTGCTCCCTCCCTGAACCACTTCACCAGTGAGCCCCTCTACTACACCTCACCTACCCAGCTGATTTCCCCAAGACCTGACCCAACCCGACACACCAGCCACGCCACGAGGGGCTTACACCGCTGCACTCACTGCTTTGCTGCACAAAGAAAAAATAAAGCACCCACCTTAGTGGGTTTTCACTGAACTTTGATTCTGGTCCATTCTTGTCCCGCCACAATAGTCATGAAAATGTGTCCAAACTTTTGACTGGTAGTGTATACATCATATGATGGTACGTAGGCTGTATAGCTACTAAGGCACACAAACCCCTCCTGACACACAAATCATCACGGGAATTTGCAGATTGCACAAGTGAAGCAAAAGTCACAGGTAAAAAGAATCAATTGAGAGTCGTGCCTGAGTTGTAACTGATGAATTGTCTGTATTTCTAATTCATGGAGCAAACACTGAGACTGTTCAGTCATTAATATTTATGTCTGCATTTACAGATGTGTGTACACATTTACAGAACCCTAAAATGGGAACTGATTATAGCAAACAGGAACTTGATTAGTTTCTGATTAACGTTCATAAGGGAAGTAAGAGAAAAGATAAAAGCAGCAAACAAACACACACAAGGGTTGTCTGTTAAAAGAGGTGAACATAGATTGTGTTTCAAACACACCAACAGAGCAGACGTGTGTTGTGAAAATTAAAATCTTCTGTAAGAACAGTGAAAATCTATTCAGGAGCACTGAATCTGTTCTTACAAACACACTTAAGGAAGGAAGGAATTACAACTCAACATACATATGATATATGAATATTTGATAGAAACCTATAGAACCTATACTTTTAGATCAAGGAACCAGTCCAAACCTGACAGCTTAAACTTCCTCTATGAAGAAACACTTTCCCGTGTGAAAGTCAGCAGCAGACTAACCACACTTCATGGCTGATGTAACACAACATATTAGTGTACCTTCAATCAGTCATGTATTCCTCGGCTCACATATTCAACTTCCTCAGTCAGCAGGATAATCGACAGTCAACACCACTTAAGTCAGAGAAAAGACAGCTTCTATTTCTGTGTGAGTGCTGAATATATTTATAATACCTGTTCAATTGCAGAATGTCAAAATGTATTGCATTAACTAACATCGCCTTAGTGGTGTCTCAGAGAACTGCAGTTACAGCAGTAACCTAATGTTAACCATAACAAGATCACAACAATATAACCTGAATAAAAAACACATCAGTACATGTACAGTAACAGTAACTAGAGTTAAAAAGTACTGTGCTTAGCCATGATCACAGTTTGTGAAGATATTCATTTATATCCAGTATTTTACCGAACCAGTCCCTGAAAGGAGAGGGGGTTGCTGGCAGAGCTGTTTCTGATGACAAAACATCTTCGCTGTGCAACGTCCAATTGTTCGGGTCGGAGCAACCTGTTTCTCTCATTGTTACCTTGCAGAGTTAGCTGTTAGAAGCTCAGTGTGCTTTGTTGCTCCTTTAAAGTCAGCTGGCAGGCTGCGTGTCTGTAGCTACGACACTAACTATCATAATTAAAGTTCAGTTAAATGACACAAAATGAATCAGTTTACAAGTTCCCAGTGGTCCCAACACGTGTTTTATCACATTCAGTAGAAATACAGACGGACATGCAATAACACAACTGTTACACAATTGTCCACAGCAACCAGTATTCTCTGATTTTACCAGGGAGCCACAATGACAAAGGAGGTCCTCTTGAGCACTCTGGATGACCTCGGCGAAGATGAATTTAAGTGTTTCAAGTGGTTCCTGAAAGATGAACGACTGAAAGACTTCTCAACAACAGGAAGGTGACATCAGTGAAAGAGGAGCAGCCATATTCTGATAATCTAAAGAGGTTCAATGTCTGGCCTCAGCTGTTGTGTAGAAATGGTCTGACTGGTTGTAGCAGTAGCAGTGTATGTGGACTGTCCTGCTGGCACTCTGTCCTTCTACAGAGTCTCCTCTGACACACTGATCCACCTCCACACCTTTAACACCACATTCACTGAACCTCTTTATCCTGGGTTTGGTTTTGGATGTGTTTCCTCTGGATCCTCGGTGTCTCTGTGTTCAGTGTAGGAGGAAGAGTCTCCTCCTGTTAGAGAAACACTGCTGACAAACACACACAAACACCTGAGCCCTGTTTCTGTTGGAGTCCATATTTCTTTACTTGTTGGTGAATCTGTGTCATGAAAAGTCACGCTGCATTTGCTACGAACACTGCCTGTTTGTACT